AAAAGAGAATGGGCTTCAAGTTTCAGAAAGAAACTCTACCCAAAGGGAGCTCTCCAGGGTCTTCAGCCCGACTCCTTTTTCTCCCAGCCTTCTGCAGGGCCCAGGACAGACCAGACTGACTGACTTCAGAGAAGGGGGAGGGTGGCGAGCAGGCCGGGAGAGGCAGGCGCTCTCCATGCCGGGACCAACTCCCAACCCAGTGATGGTGCTGTGGCCACACAGGGACCCAAGGGGGCCGCCGGGTGGAGGGGAGGCCGGAAGGCCGCCTCACACCAGGCCGCCATCACCTAGAGCACGGTGGGCGCAGACTTGGCGCTGAGCGCCCCCCTCCGATGTGCCCTCTCCTGGCCCCATTCAGCACCCAAACGGCTGTGCCCCTGTGGTCGGCGGGCCAGCCGGCATCAGAGGCCCCGCTGCCAAGGTCACAGTGTGTGTGTGAGAAGGGGGCTCAGCCCTCCAGGCTCGAGCAGCCAAGCAGAACTGGACCCCCTGCCTGTGTGTCCAGGTCACAGAAACAGACAGAGCTGGGAGGACAGAGCTGGGAGGACAGAGCAAGGACCGTCCCTGACGCCAGGCAAAAGCCTCAAGGCAGCGAAGAGGCGCCCAAGCGCTCCGGTCCCCACGGTACCAGCTAGTCGGAAAGAGGAGGGCACAGCCTGGGCTCGGGCAGAGGCAGGCTCCGTGGAGAGCTTTCTCCTTCACCTGCTCCCGCCTCAGGGCCCTCATGCTGGATGACGGAATGGGGGACACAGGTGGCATCTTCCTCCAAGCAAGGAAGCAAAATGTCTTCCACCATGCCCCCCTCAAACAGGGGCCCTTCCACTAATGGGAACCTGTATTTTAGGTATAAACACCCTGTTTCCCCATTTTAATACACCTACGTTCTCTCCCGAGCCCAGCCCAGGAGTGAGAATCCTGAGGTACCGTGGTTTCACGCCCACTCCTGAGACCTGCTTGAGCGACCCCTCCCCACCCTCCAATCAGGAAAAAGGGGAGGAAAAGAAATACTCAGAAACCTGAAGATTGTTTGGAATTTATTCTCTTAAATAAGAACGGTAACACTTGTTAAAAAAAATTAAAAGCACAACACCTTAGTTTCACAATAACGGAAAAACAAAGTTACACAATTAAATAAAAACAACTCACAAAGAAACACACCAAAACGCACAACAGCACAGGTTAGAGACGAAGGCAAAGGCGAGGCTTCACGGCAGGAAGGCCGGAGACGGACAGGTGCACCATCCCTGGCACAACTCTGGCCTCTGTACCACTCCTGGGGACCCGCCTGCTGCCTGCCCCCGCCCTCTACCCCAAGCTTAACAGATCAGGAAAAGTGGGTGTAGAACTCCTTAACTCACTGGCCAGGCCTTGAAGGCCATGCTGAGGCCCCTTTCAGGAGAGACTAAGGATTGCACTGTCCTACAGACACACTGAACACCAAGAGACAGCAGGGAGCTGTGCTAACAGACCCGCGCCTGGAAGCGAAGCGGTCCCGTGGGGTTCCTGAGCGAGAGCCCTGCTCCCCTGCTTTGTCTAAGTCACCTTTCTGGGGTGGGGAGTGTGCACTGCTCATGTCCGGGGGCACTTGCCCCCGCGGTCCCCACCTCCCCGGGAACACTAAGCCAGGTCAGTGGCATGGTCCCCGGTGTAAGCCAGAGCCCAGGGACAAGAAGCCTGGGGAAGCTTCACTAGTACTGTTACCACCACTTAGGGCACAACATATAAACGTGTACTTGTAGACATGAAACTAAGCCAGCGCAAACACATGTGCGTATATGTATGTGTTCACACATCACTGTCTACTTGGACTCTTGGGGTGGGGTTGGAGAGTGAAGCTGGATTTGGAATTCTCTTTGCTTTTCTAAATAGGTTTTCCAGAAATGCCTATAAGGGAAGAGGGCTTGGGAAGCAGTGGGAAGATCCTCCTGACGGCAGGAACCCAGGATTGTACCGCGCGTGGCTATTCTAGCTGATGTGGGAAATGCCTGCGTTTCCTAATGGCTCATTCAGCATCCAGACTATGGAACCCGAGGGTGACCGTGCAGGTGTGTCTGGGGACGCGGCATGCGGCAGCCACAGCGAGGCAGCCTTTTATGTTAAGATCATCTTTCCGTAAGACGACAGACAATGAAGCCTTTCTCCCATCCCATGTCTGTCACCTGTACTGGAAGCAAAGCTCTTCTGTTCCCTATGATACCCCATGCCTGTACGCTTCAGTTCTGGTTACCCACTATGTGAGGTGCAAAGGGGATTCCTCTGGATGAAAAAAGGATCTAAAAACCTTCAACTGAGGGTCTTGTATTCAAGGGCACAACATCCCACTGGGGGTTTTCTTTCTCTGCCTGTTGTTATCCAAATGTTTCCTAAAGTCAGGGCAGGTACTATGAGGCCAGGGTAAGAAAATCTGTGCCAGGTCCACTGACCTGCAGCACTAAGTATAAGAAGCTTGGAAACAAAGCACTTACTGATTTTGAGAACAGCAAAGAGGGTTTCTACATTAAAAGCACGTTACAAACAAAGATGCTAAATCAGGCAGCAGCTGCAGGCCAGGGGCCCAGAGACAGATGACGCCGGACCAGGTTCTAACTCGCGGGTTGTGTTTGTTTTTTTGGCAACAGCAGTCGTTTTGGTGTAAGAGAAGAACATCAGGGAAGAGAGGGAAATGCCACAAGCTAAAGGGGGGCACAGAGCAGTGCCAGCCACAGCCACGTCTCCTCCAGACGACCTCCTGGGGGACGTGGATCTGGGGCGTGAACCATGCTCCACGTATTACTCGCTCTGCTCAAAGTGCAGCCCAGGGGACGTGCCCAGAACCAGCCTGACCACAGCCGTCCACAACACATTTCCTGAAGCCCCGAAACACCTGAGTTTTTCTGAAGCTTTTCAAAAGGAAGTTCTAGTTAACCAATCAAAGCTTTGGTTTGGGATTTAAAGAAGGGAATCCTTATTAAAGGAGAAAAAGAAACCGATTTCCTGCCAGCTAGAACATACACCCACGACCCTGCTCCTGTTCTACGAAGGGGAAGTGCTGGTGCACCGCGGCACGTCCACTTGGAACCGCGCTCTCAGAAAGCTCGGGCCTCCAGAGGCAGGGAGTCACTGGACCCCAGCGGCCCCGGGTGCTGGCCTTGCCACTGCCTACAGGGCACCTCCAACTGGGCTTCACATCCTGAACCCCTCATGCTGTGACAGGCGCATCACCTTCAGAATCAAGAAGGTCCTCAGGACTTCGATTCTGTCACCACAACCCCAGCTCTCATCTTCTCTCCCTGCTTCACAGAGTGGTCCTCTTCTCTATGGAACGCTTAATTCTCCACAACTGCTAAAAACCCGAAGCCCACTATGCTTTCAAAGCAGGCAGGCAGAGACGGCAAACTGAACTGGACAGAGTACACGACGTTGGCTCAGGAACGGCCTGACCTCCACTGGCTTCGCTCTTCTTCAGATGCCCACAAAGAGAGCCGAACGTTTTAGTTGTCTGCTGAGCACCCAGGTGGTTCCCACCTGCTCAAAGGCACACGCCCTGTCTCTACCAGCTCCCCTGTTGCAAGGGCCGTCAGCACTTCTTGAAAAAGACAGATTATAAAGGGGCTCAAGGGGTACCACCAAGTCATCTGCAGCTTAAACATGGCTATAAAATATTGGTCCAATCTGCAGGGCACTTCAAAACTTGCCTACATTTTATCAGGACACACATAGTAGCAGAAGCTGAGCTCACCTAAACTCCAGTCACTGCACCCAGGGGCACTGCCCAGCGTCTGGGACACCTTCCTGCCCCAGAGCAACACCACGGGGCCTGCGTTAGTTCCGGAGCACAGGCGAAGGAGCAACTCTGCTAACCTCCCATTTGAAGGCTCAGTGGATAACTTTTCTCTTCTCCCATTTTGGAAATTCCACTACCAACTCCCTCTCCATAGTTTCTGGCCTTAGTTGATAACCTTTAGTTTTCAATATGGTGATTTCTGTGAGTTTGTAAACGGCTGCTTGAGACCTATTTGCTCTGAAGGGAAGAAACTTGTGACAGGTGAAAACAGGGCCCTGACGACTTCCTCTCCGACTGGCTACAGTGACCGTGGGCTATGACCTGTCGGGGCTGCGCAGGGCATCAGGACCACCCACATCTGTGGAACTGTGGACACACGTCACAGGCTGGTTTGGCAGGGAGTAGGGAGAGGTGATTTTAAGGAAAAACCACAATTCTTCACAAGAAGTCTGGTACCCATGAGCCCTTCCTTCTCCTGACCTTCGAGACCAGAACAAATGTGTTTTTAGATGTGGGGTGGTGGCACTCACCTCCTGACACAGGAAGAGGTTAGTGAAAGTGGGACCAATCAGGGCCTGATCCTCATTAGGAGTTCAAATGCCCCAAAATGACCAGGACAGGGCATGTCCCTCAGGGGTTACAGGTGAGGTGGGACAGCAGTGGCAGCCACCTAGACACCTGAGCAGGGAAGAGGATGGAGGATGTCCAGTTCAGGTGGACACACGTTCAGACCTTGGGGCCTTTTCACAATTCCACGCTCTATCCAAGGAGCCCACAGCGAGGGACTACAGGAAGGCCCCACTGCCCTGGGTCATCACTTGGGTCAGTGCTAAAAGCAGCCTGTTTTGAACTCCTGTTCCCTAGACAGGGCCTGGGCCAACCCCCCAAGGTATCTGATGGATGTGGACAGGTCCCAGGACTCCAGCAATAAAAATGAGATTCTGAATAGACAGTACCGAAGCCTGGGTGACGCCGCTCACCAGACGGCACCCCTACTGGCTCACGGTCGGCCAGTGAAACTCCCCTCTGATTTGTACCAGCACCTCCGACAGGCCATAGAGAAAGGGGACTCCGAATGCAAGCAGCTGGCACATGAAAAAGGAGTCCAGAGGGTTTTGGGCCACCTGATGCCCAATTGAAGAAATGTTGCTTTGGAGGTGCTGGCTCATCCCCTTGGCCTTGTCACAGAGGCCGAGAGAGTGACGCGCCACCCAGCCAAACAAGGAAGTGAGGCTACCTGGAGTTCTCTCGGCAGGGCTGGCACTGGTGCTGGGCTGTCCGTTGGTGTCTGCAGCAGGGCTGTCCTGCAGGGGTCCCCTGGCCTCCTAGGAAAGTCCACAAGAAGAGGAAGAGTGACTGAGTGAAGCACCCACATCTCAGGAGACAATGACGCCTGGCTGCTGGTCTGCTGCCCTCACCAGGAAACCCAGAGCCGCACCAGGGCACGCTTCATGTCCCTTCCCCCACAGGCTCTCTGCAGTCCGCAGAGGCCCTCCTGGAAGCATCAGGCAACTGCACGCCCACAGGGCAACACCACAGAGCGGAGAGAATACACAGCTCACTTGGAAAGACAGATGCGGGAGCTGATTACACTCACTTTTTTTTTTGTAAAAAGAAGGTTCTTAGATAAGTAATTCCCAGAATATAGAAAGTTCAAGGAATTGGCTGCAGAGCATTTATTTCTAGCCAAGTCCTTTTCCAGTGTCCTCCTCTCAGGAAGGGTGAGATTTTCAAAGGCAAGAGGCTTTTTTTTACACAGTAAGCAGAAGACAAGGTCTGACGTGGTCTTCCAAATCCAACTCAGGTGGTGCTGGAACATTACCTTACTGAAACCCAACATTAGATTAGGCTTGAAAAGATGCTCCCTCCCCATATCGGACTGTGACCATCTCTCAGGCCCTCCCACTCACAGGAAAGGCAATGCAGTGGCCATTCAGGGCCTGCTGGCCACACCCTGACCTGTCACCACACTGAAACAGCACCTGCTGCCCCCCCGCCCCCTGCGGCCGATCAACATTACCTTTCCAGACAGAGGGGCCACTGCTGGTCTCTTCCTCTGTACAGGCCCGGACAGCCGGTAACAGTAGTGTGGTTTGCAGTAGAATTTACCTGCAGGCAGCAAGGGGCAGGGGAAGAGGGTGAGCAAGTCTCTGAGATTCCCAGCTTGACCCCTGGTCTTGGCACAGTCGTCCGCTCGCCCCGGCACCGGCCTTCCCCAGGCCCAGGCTTCTTGTCCAGGGAGGCCAGGCCCTCCTCTCCCCTGTGCCCGGATGTGTGGAGGCCACGGAGCCATCACCCAATCAGGGCTTGGAGCAAAGACCGAAGCCTGTACGGCAGGGCCCGCAAACAAAGTGGCAGTGTGTGCAGAACAAAGATGTGGTCACATGAAGAGCCAGAGGAGCATTTCTGGGGAAACCAAGAATGAACACAAGCGGTGGTGGCCTGAAGGCTGCCGGGGGTGGGGCGGCACCGAACATGAGCCCGCTGGGGCCCTCCTGCCGCCCTTCTGCAAGCACCCGCGAGCCAGCGCCACCCACAGTGGGTCAGGACCAGCATTAAAAACAACGCAAAACAAACCAAAAATCCTACAGTGCACTGTGACTGAAACAAAACAGAATAAAGCCTAATAAAAAGCATCAGCATGCACTGTGGCATCCTCAGAGTCAAGGATTATCTCTCACAGCTCAGCTGTGCCCACCTGGGTTTTCTGGGTCCTAGTGTAACATGTATGTCCTATTGTGGACATGATCAAAAGTTTGAAAAACACCAACCTTGGCTTTTCCCACGAGGCTGGTAGTGGGATTCAGTCACTGAGGGTTGTTTTTTCCCGACTCTTTCTTTCCCCCGACTTCCAGCCAAGGCTTTCAAAAATTAAAGGATAGACCCTATTACAGAAACTGTTGAAACAGGAGTAATTCCACTCATCCGTCTCATCTGGAGAGAGTGGCTCCTTTGACAAATGAACTTTCCTATTCCCAAAGTTAAAGTAAGAGGACCTAACCAGAAATACAATAGCATAGATCAATGAACCTGATTTTTTTTTGAAAAGATAAACAAAATTAACAAACCTTTATGAGACTAATTCAGAAAAACAGAGAGAAGACTCAAATAAATAAAATCAGAAATGATCGAAGACATTACAACTGATACCACAGAAACACAGAGGATTGTAAGAAACTGCTAAAAACAATTATATGCCAAAAAGCTGGATAATCTAGTAGAAATGAATAAATTCCTAGAAACATACAACCTATTAAATCTGAGTCTCATGAAGAAACAGAAAATCTGAACAGACCAATATTGAGTAAGGAGACTGAATCAGTAAACAAAACCCTCGCAAAACAGAAAAGCCCAGGACCAGATGGTTTCACTGGTGAACTCTACCAAACATTTAAAGAAGAACTAACAATACTTCTCAAACGCTTCCAAATAACTGAACGGGAGGGAACACTCCCAAACTCATTTTATGAGACCATCATTACCAAAGCCAGATAAGGACAGTACAAGAAAAGAAAATTACAGACCAATACCCCTGATGAATACAGATGTAAAAATTCTCAACAAAATATTAGCAAACCAAATTCAACAGCACATTAAAAGGATCATAGGGCTTCCCCGGTGGCGCCGTGGTTGAGAGTCCACCTGCCGATGCAGGGGACACGGGTTCGTGCCCCAGTCCGGGAAGATCCCACATGCCGTGCAGCGGCTGGGCCCGTGAGCCATGGCCGCTGAGCCTGTGCATCCGGAGCCTGTGCTCCACAACAGGAGAGGCCACAACAGTGAGAGGCCTGCGTACCGCAAAAAAAAAAAAAAAAAAAAAGGATCATACAGCATTACCAAGTGGGATTTATTCCAGGAATGCAAGGACGGTTCAATAGCCATAAGTCAATAAATGGGATTCACCACATTAACAGAGAGAAAAAAAAATGATCATCTCAACAGATGCAGAAAAGCATTTGACAAAGTACAACATCCTCTCATGATAAAAAGGGCTCAAAAAACTTGGTATAGAAGCACTGTACCAACAAAATAAAGGCCATATATGACAAGCTCACAGCTAATATCATATTCAACAGCAAAAGGTTGAAAGCTTTTCTTCTAAGATCAGGAACAAGACAAGGCTACCCACTCTCACCATTCCTATTCAATACTGGAAATCCTAGCCAGAACAATCAGGCAAGAAAAAGAAAAATAAAGGCTTCCAAATAGATAAGGAAGAAGTAAAACTGTTTTCGTTTGTAGATGATATGATCTTATATACAGAAAATGCTAAAGACTCCACCCAAAAAAACTGCTAGAAATTTAGGCAAGTTGCAGGATACAAAATCAACATATAGAAAACAGTTGTGTTTCTATACACTAACAACGAAACATCAGAAAAAAAATGAAGAAAAAAATCCCATTCATAATAGCATCAAAAAATAAAATAAAATTCTTAGGAATAAACCTAACCGAGGAGATGAAAGACCTATACACTGAAAGCTATAAGACTTTGATGAAAGAAACTGAAAACACAAATAAATGGGAAGATATCCAGTGTTCATGGATCAGAATATTGTTATAATGTTCACATTACCCAAAGCCATCTATAGATTCACTGTAATCTCTATTAAAATTTCAATGCCATTTTTCACAGAAACGCAAAAAACAATTGTAAAACTTGTATGGAACCACAAAGGATCCCAAATAACCAAAGCAATCCTGAGAAAGAAGAGCAAAGCTAGAGACATCACACTTCCTGATTTTAAACTATATTACTAAGCTATAGTAATCAAAACAGTATGGGGACTTCCCTGGTGGTGCAGTGGTTAAGATTCTGTGTTCCCAATGCAGGGGGCCTGGGTTCGATCCCTGGTCAGGGAACTAGGTCCCGCATGCCGCAACTTAAAAAAAAAAAAAGTAATGAATTGGGAGATTGGGATTGACATATATACACTAACATGTATAAAATGGATAACTAATAAGAACCTGCTGTATAAAAAATAAATAAAATAAAATTCAAAATAAAATAAAATAAAGTTATTATAGGGACTTCCCTGGTGATCCACTGGTAAAGAATCTGCCTTCCAATTCAGGGGACACAGGTTCGATTCCTTGCTGGGGAACTAAGATCCCACAGCCGCAGGGCAACTAAGCCCGCATGCCGCAACTACTGAGCCCATGTGCCCTGGAGCCTGCAGGCCACAACTAGAGAGAAGCCCACACACCACAACGAAGAGCCCATGTGCCGCAATGAAAGATCCCGCATGCTTCAATGAAGATCCTGCATCTCGCAACTAAGACCCAATGCAGCCAAAAATAAATAAAATAAATAAAAAATAAATCTTTGAAAAAAATTGTTATTAAAAAAAATATATCTTGCACACCACAAAAAAGGTCCCAAACTATGGGTTAATCTTCAAAATATATATGGAACTCATATAACCCAATAGCAAAGAACCTAACAACCTGATTAAAAAATGAGCAGGGGAACTGAAGAGTTTCCCAAAACAGACATACAAATGGCCAACATATAGATGAAAAGGGGCTCAACATCACTAGTCATAAGGGAAATGCAAATCAAAACCACAGGATATCACCACATACCAGACAGAATGCCTACTGTCAAAAAGACAAGAGGTAACAAGCGTTGGAGAGGGTGTGGAGAAAAGGGAACCCTCATGCACTGTTGGTGGGAATGTAAATTGGTGTAGCCACTATGGAGAACAGTATGGAGGTTCCTCAAAAAATTAAAAATAGAACTACCATATGATCCAGGAATTCCATTTCTGGGTATTTATCTGAAGAAAACAAAAACACTAATTATGGTAAAAGATATATGCACCCCCATGTTCATAGCAGCATTATTTACAATGGCCAAGATACAAGAACAACCCAAGCTTCCATCCACGGATGGATATATATATATAATATATATATACATACACATATGTATACACAATGGAATATTATTCAGCCATGAGCAAGGAGGAAATCCTGCTATATGACAACCTGGATGGACCTTCAGGGCATTGTGTTAAGTGAAATAAGTCAGACAGAGAAAGACAAATACTGTATATCACCTACATGTGGAATCTGAAAAAGACAAACTCCGAGAAACAGAGAGTAGAATGGTGGCCAGTAGGGGTGGGGGGAGGGGAAATGAGGAGATATTGGCCAAGGAGTAGGGACTTCCAATTATAAGATTAACAAGTTTGGGGATCTAACGCACAGCATGGTGATCAAAGCAAATAATACTGCGTCATATACCTGAATGTTGCTTAAAGAGTGGGTCTTAAATGTTCTCACCACAGAAAAGAGTTAGTAACTATGTGATGGCACGGAGGTGGTAACACTGTGGTTTTAGCCTAGGTTACACTGTGGTGGTAATAACTTTACAAATAAATGTGTCAAATCAACGGGCAGTACACATAAACCAATGTGTCAATTATATCTCAAAAAAAAAGTCAAGGAGATAAATGAATGGCATTCTTCTTCCCTTCTCCTGGTGATCCGATTACATGTCTCTCTCTCTTTTCCCCTCAAAGTAACTGACTTCTGTTCTCCTTTTACGGGTACTTCTCCCCCTCCCAACACTGCATAAATCTTTTAGAAAGAGAGTTTGTGGACTTTCATAATTTCAAATAATATTCATATAGATAGTATATTTTCTGAAATAAGAGTTTCCCACTAGCTCCTGGCACGTAATCAGAACTCAGAGAACCACACCTCCTGTCAGGGGCACTTGAGAGCAAAGGACTATCAACCCCACTGCTTATCTCTCTATAAGGGGAGTTGAGTCGTGGGTTATTTTTAGCAGCTTGGACACAATCTCCTTCTACAATCTGTGATAAACCATTTCACTTTTGCGAATTTTGGCCAAGATAAAATGTAATTAGGACAAGACAAAAGTATTGGTGCTTGGATCACACACTACTTTTTGCCTGTCTTGTGTCTCATTCTTTAAGGAACACTCCTCCCTCCTCCACATGACTCTGATGGGGCTGCCAACTACGTGGCCTGACATTACCCAGCACAGAAGTGGATAAATGACCCAGATAGGTCAATCAGAATATCCCCTTTCCCTCCAGCCCACCCCAGGACACGGTGCTCTAGGATCTGGCATGTGGCTAAGTTAGGCTAACAGATTCTTAGGGATGGGGAGAGAGAAGGGGCAGCCCTGCTATCTGCAAGAAAGATGTCAATCTTATGCATAAACTTTAATCTGATCTGGGTTTCCATTACTTTCAACCAAGAGTCTTATTTATTGTAGTATCAGAAAACTACAACCTAACTACAAAACTACAGTTAGGTTCATTCCTTTCTTCTATTTTTCCTCCATTAATTTGCTTTTTTTCTAGTAAAAGAATTCTAGATTTAAAAATACAACTCAATAGACTGACCTACCAGGGAATCCTCATTGAATTGTTACGGTATCCTAAATTAATAAAGTAAAGAGGTTTAGGTTTCAAAAACGAGTCCCATGAGCCTGACCAAAAGGTAAAAAGAAAATTCCAAACCCTTGTTTTCTCTACGAATGCAGCACAACCTGAGGGGAGGAACACACACACTGAAACCAGAGCTCAGTGCAGGCACCATCCCAGCCACTCAGTGGTACGTGGCCCTCTCAGCACGCGTTCCCTCATGTAGAGCATGAAGACCACACCGTCTCGTGGGGTGAGAGCCATCAATGAGACATCATCACATGTCCTGCACTGTAGCTGCTCGATTAATGCACCTCAAACCCCTTCCCAAACCCAACTTGGTGATACTTTTTGCTTCTTACGTTAATAACAAAAAGGGCTGATTTTCATCTAACATTTACCATGTGCCAAATACTGTAAGTGCTTTACAACTATTGACTCATTTAATCCTCAAAACCCAGTGAGGCACAGAAAGGCTAAGCCACGCTAGCGAGTCTCGGACAGGACTTGAACATCGGACGCCTGGCTCTTCACAATGGTGCCCATCTCAATCAGCAAGTATGGCCACGCTAACGTCACAAAGCAACCAGAAAGCATGGTTGATCCCGTCAAGTCACTGATTTTAGATGGTCTAAGTAAATTCAGGAACCTCGACAATAAACGTAGGAATGACTGAAGACGGAACTGGAGAAAACAGACAGCTAAGAGGCGAGCCTGAGGCAGACGGGCCACAGATTCCTTCCCCCAGCAACTCCAGGTCAGAGCCGTCAGGACAGGTCAGAGCCAGAGATGTTCTGGTCAGGAGGCAGAGGAGCCCTGCCGCCTCTCCGGGGAAAGAACGTGTGGCAACAGGAGGCTGCCCCGTGAGGGTGGGAGGGGCGCACTCCAGCAGAGGACACAGCGGGCGCACGCATGTCAGTGCAACGGAGAAGCGAGCAGCTCGCAGGGGACAGGCAGAAGCAGGGGGCCGGGGGGCAAGCTGGGAGGACGCACGGAGCTCTCAGCCCCGGGGACCGCGGGTCCACCTGTGCCACAGGGGTTGTCAGGGTGAACAGTGGGAGGCCGGGAAGATCTGCTTGTCTCTTTAAGATTCCCTGGGCTGCCCTGTGGGAGCAGACACAGGGCAGTGGCGGGGGGCAGCGGGCTCGTCACTCCCGAGGGCGGCCCTTCAGACCTCCTCAGTGGACGGTGTGTGTTTTCTCTCCTCGAGACGACAGGAAAGACGTGACAGACACACTGTTTGATTTAGAGTCCTTGTCTTAAGAGGTGGCAGCAGGCAAATAAGCTAGTCTGTGGCAACAGAAAGACTCCATCCTTTTAAAGGGGCTGAAGGGACAAGGGTAAAACCTGGACGCCTCTCTCAAGTGAGTGAGTCCCCACTGACCAGGCCGGAGTTGCCATGGGCCAGAAGCGCTAACCCCAGGACGTCTGACCTGGGGGACCTCAGAGGTCACTTATTGCTGTGTGGACCTGGACAAGTAACTTACAGCTTCTCTGAACTCAGTTTCCTGATGTGTAAAATTACAGCAATAAAGTTAGCTACCTTCCGGTGGTCATGAGGATGAAATGTCACAATATGTTGTTAAGGGCCCGGCACGGGCTGGGTTAACCCCCTCTCTCCGGAGCCACAATCCCTGCCCTTTTCTCTCTCACCTGAGGCTCTTCCATTAGATTTCTGAACCTCATGAGGCTAAACCCTCAGGACCCCTAAGATTCCCTCCTTTCCCAAGTCCAGCTGTCACTGAGGAGGGCGGAGCTGAGGGAAAGGTTCACCTGCGCTGAAGTCTGGGGAGCTGGTCAGGCCCGCTGTCAGGAAGGCTGTGCCTAAGCACGTGGGCCTGCTCGTCCGGCCCCCACACCACGGTCACTCGCCCGGGCTCCGCTGCCCTCTCGCTGGGCACACCGGCTCCTCCGCCCCTCTGCTGAGCCCTCGCCCACCATGCTCCAGAGTCCACGGCAGGATGGCTAAGTAGTTCCTGACCCTCCTGAGCTTCCCGGACTCCTCCTCCTCTGTACTTCACAAAGTTACAGTCTGCACTACGCACCGTCACCCTTGGTCACTCCCTTACGCTGCCGGATCATTCCAACAGGACGGCCCCTCTTACACCATCTATGCCCTCAGGAGAATGTGGCAAAGGTGTGGCGCACAATCTATGGGCAAAAATACTCGTGGATCGATTCGCTGGACCTGAAGGGATCTTTCTAGGCAGACCTCGCGGACAGTTAGAAACACTGCGTGGGCTCCATGTGCCAACCCCATCCGGGGAGAGCAAAGGCACTATCCAAAGACCAGGTGTGCGGGAATACTGACACCTAACAGTATAGACAATTGTCTCACCTCTTCCCTCGCTGGCTGGTGCTTTTCACTAACGTAACAAGAGGACCAGGTGCCACAACAGTAGAGTCAGCTTTTCTCAGGTCACCACTCAGCTCTTCTGGCCGCTCCTTGCTCACTAGTCGAAGAGCCTGGAGGACTGTCTCCTCACCGCAGGGGGCATCCCTCTCCCGTGTGACATCCCCTGACAGTCTCCTCAGTCAGTGCAAGGGACCTGAGGATTTATTTCCCCCTTCTGTTAATCTGGGTCTTTTCATTATTGTTGAATCAGTAAGATGGCCTCTCGTAAGGTCCCTTCTGCTTCCTGTAGGAAGGGGCGTAGGAATCACTGATGTCTCCGGTGACCTTTTCCAATTAACCCCAAAGGGTTTTCAGGCGGCAGACACGCCTCTCCATCAGGCTTTGTTACCTGTCTGCATAATTCTCCACCTTCTGCCTTATCAAGGTCATTCCACTATAAAACCAACAAATATCACAAAAGGCCAGGGCTTGAACAGCACAGTAACCAGACTGAGGCCTGGGCAACATGCTCTCAATTCACCAGAGATGCTGATACGAGAGAGCACAGGTGACACTGGGCATAACTCAGGCACCTTCAGGAAGCCAAGGTCTGAGAACAGTGGCAGCGGATACAGTTTCAATGTGCTGTCACTGACCTTAGGCAAGAAATGTGGCTTCTATAAGCCTGTGATTCTTCTTCTCTAAAGCGAACACAAAAAAGACTTACTCTCCTCAGGTCCCTTTTATCTTAAGATCCCCACCGTGAGGTACGACAGCAGGAGTCTGTGAAGCCAGGGAAACGATTTAGGTAAACGCATGCCCTTCTCATCACCATGGTCACTGAGTCATCTATGATACAGCTTGGTGACTCTGCAGAAATATTTATAAGAAAGAGTCTGGGAGAAAACACAGACTACAGGGGGGTGGATGGAAAGGCTCAGGAGAGGCAGAAAAGAGAGCATCAGTGTAAGAACGCAGCGGGGGGCCCTTGAGTCTGGGTGCGGCCTCCAGCGCGGGGACTCACCGTCCTCGAGGGCGTATGCGTAGGCCGAGAGGCGCAGGGTGGTGGCGCAGTACTCGCACTTGAAGCAGCTCCGGTGGAAGAACTTGCCCTCGGCGCTCAGGCGCTCCATCACGTAGACCCGCTTCCGGCAGAAGTAGCAGGTGTCGCTGCCTCCCAAGTTCTGTGGGAACTCCTTCTTCATGGAGCCCTGGGGGTGGGGGGTGGGGGGACACGCATCAGGCGAGGCCTCCCGGCCCCTCCCCAGGGCGCACAACCCTCCCTACGCGGTTCTGCCTGGGGACGGGAGCCGCGCACCACCACAGGCCGGTGCCTCCAGTGCCCACGCAGCACTTGGCACTGCGTCTGTTCCACACGATTTCATAACAAGCAAACCAAATCCTCTTAACGGATTCTGATCTGAAGGTGTTCCCGTGGTTCTCCATGGACACAGGCCCTGGACTCTAGAGCAATCACTTTAGAGATACTGAGTATGCTGTTCACACAACATTCTAAACAACGGTTTCAGTCCTAGAAGTTCAGTTATAAAATTCAGACAACCTCAAAAAATAATTACCACATGGCACGCAGCAGCCATATATGCCACTGAGCTACTTAGAACAAAGCAGGCTTGTTTACCAGAGCTGTCTTATCTAGACAGACAGTGCCCTTAGTGTATCTTACCAGTTCCTTCTTGTCTAGAAGGGTTTTAGGCTGTTCTTTCCTTTGAAGCTGACTGGCTATCTGCTCAGCCAATGAGCTCACTCCGCCCGTGTACATCTTTATATACTTCTATTGGTTGGAGATTGTTAAACGACCAGAAAGAAGGGAAATGAGAAGGAAAAAAATAAATAAATTAAGAAGACAGGGGAAAAAAATCTTCGAAAGGTATAAAATGAATACAAGGTGCAGCAACAAACATGCCAACACAGTGCCCACGAGCAGGGGACTAGGTGTCAGTGTCCACACACCGGTGTCAGCACAGGCGGGAGCGATGGCCACAGAGACAGTGAAATTCAGGAAGGAGAACCTGGTCTCTCATGTCCCTCTGGACGAAGTGCGGGGGATGTGGAGGCGGGACGACAAGATGGATGCAAACAGAGTGAGAAGGGCCTACCACCCAGCGGCTCAGATTACACACAGAGAACCTCAAAGAACCTAAGAGAACACCTCACTTAAGGCAGCGGGCACCAGACTGAAGGCACATCCCAGGGCCTGGGAGAGGACCTGGGGAGTTATTTCCTCATTTAGAAAGAAAGTAAGGCCGACTCTCCATCTGGGTAACGGATGCCAACAGCCCAGTGTCACCGGGGATGACAGCCGTCTTCACTATGACCTCCTTCGCTCAGGGCCCCTGTCCTGTGCACCAGAGGCCCCCGGGCTTTACCAGGAAGAACCCTTCTCTGCCCGTTCTCCCCATGGAGACTTCTGTGTTCCCCTGAGCCCTGAGACCAAGCCTTCCGGACCAGCTGGGGCACTGCTGACACGGCTGCTGTGGAAGCCAGAAAGTGTTTCTAGTCCAGGAGGGGTTATATCTTTATACGTTGAAACAAGATAAAAGAAAAAAAATCCAACCACCTCAATCCTCTTTCTAGCAATGTTGAAAAAGCAGCAGGAGAAAACTATAAATTTCAATGGCAAACCTTCCTGTGGGAGCCCAGCTTTGAGCTTGTCCTGTGCGGACGGCCCAGACACCCAGTGTGTATGACACGCCTCTCAGCAGCTGTGTGCCCGCCGGGTCTGAGGAGCCCTCACTCTAATTCCAAATCCAAAACATGCCGGGAGCAGTTGTGCTGGGGATGCCAACAACCCCATCAGGAAACGGTCTGAACACACGAAACCGTGTGTAAAAGAATCACCAGCCTGAGCAATGGCACGTCCTGGGCGGGGCAGGGACAAACCAGAGGAATGCCCTAGGGGGAAACTGACCCGGTGTAAATACAAGCACGACAGCAGCACAAATGAGCAAACGATTCTCCAAGGTTCAGCTGGAACTGAGGAGTCAATTATATTTTCAATTTAAAATAAGGCGATTTCCAAAGGATAGTGCCATCTGCTCGTTAACTCCACAGCTTATACCCATCTGTGGTCGAGAAACACAAGTGGCTCTTAGACCTAAGCCTTCTTTGGATTAGAAACATTAGGGAAGCTTAAGCCTGGAACAGACAGGAACCCAGGCACAGCCAAGCTGAGCATCGAACAGCTGACGCCAGGGAGTAGGAAACTGCAGCAGATGAGTGGGAGCGTGGACCAGATGCCAAGTCTGAAGCTGGGACACTGGGCAAGCCCAGGGTCCTCCCTGTTCAGCCAGGACCCTGCTCTCCCATCAGAACCAGCACTCTCAGCAAGTATAGCCCAGGGCTGCTAGTGCAAAGGCATCTGTCAACTTCAGTTCTCAGCGATGTGACAGTACTGACGAGCACACCCCTAAGAGAGGTGGAGACTCAAGTCCTATTTGTTTCTGGCATGAAAAGCAGATGGTTTTCCTCTCCCCACTCTTAAGAAACAGTCGAAATGTAGTACTCTCTGGACTTATACTGTGGCCACCACACATGCGTATCATTCTCTACAGTCTGCTACCAGCTCAAGAACAGGAAACAAACAGAAAGGACAAAAGCCCCTGCAATCTCTCTGTAAACTCGTCCACAGCTGGGTCAGTTCCATCATAGGAAACAGCAGAGCTCTTCCTTAAGAGATTACAATTCAAGAGGCACCCAGAATACTGTGTATCCACCACTCTCTTTAAGAGATTTAATTACACAATGGTTCATATTTTATAACACGTTAATAGGAAGAGGTCTGGAGTTAAAAAAAGCTAATGGCTACAAAGTGCTTTCTCATTATTTGATACAGTTGGACTATAATGAAAATGGGTTGACTGGGACAGAATTTGCTGCAGTGAAGCTAGCAGCCTCCTTAACTCAGGTGGACGCCTACCGACCTCACATGCATGACGGACACACACAACTGGATTCCTAAGGAGACAGGCTGCCGTTCGTGTGGGTGAAGAAAGTGCAGGCTGAAGAGGACAAGCCTGGCCAAGCCCTGGGCCCCGCTACCTGTCGGAGGAAGTCAGAGGAGGGAGAGGCAGGGCGGCTGGCGGAGCGGAGGCTTAGAGAAAGCTCCCACTGGTCGACAAAAAATCGACGAGAAGGCTCAGGCTCTGGCTATAAAATACAAGACGGAGAAAAAAATCAAAGGAAACGTTAAGTTAAAAGTTACACGCTGACCTGAACACAAGGAACACAGACCCTTTATCTGGATGACAAATGCAGTAAAGAAACGCTCTTAGTTCCAGAAGCATCAGTGGCTCATTCCAGGCTCCCACTGTGCCTCACACTCACAGCCACACCCGCACTGGAACACGGCCCCCCAGAAAACCTTGTCTGCACCCCTGCTCTCAAGTGCACAGTGCTGCCAGCCAGCAGGCAGCGTCCTATTCACACGTCCTGTGTGCCCTGCAGAGCCCCTCACGGCCTGGGCTGGAATTTCTCTTGAGCACAAGGAGATTCCACCGGCTCCTCACTCTGCTGGCCTTAAGAGGAGCAGACAGGAGACGACAGCTCTGGAGCAAAGCTCGCTTTCTCCATAAAAGCCAGGAAAGGGGCCCCTCCTCCTCCTCCTGGTGGGGCTCAGATACAGAGCTTGCCCCGGAGCTGGCCCCAACCCTCTGCAGACCGCATGCAGCACGTGGAGCAAAAGTGGGCCCAGCAGCCAGGCACTGTCCGGTCCCCAAGCCAGGAGGGGCTGCGAGCTTGGCGAGCAGTAACCGCTTCGCTGCCTGCAGGTTCGGGCTGAGATACCTGCGGGCCGCAGGGAAGAAGCACCCCTCGGCCTTCAGCTCGCACTAACTTCAAAGCTTCAGGCGTGTCACGGGTGATGGGGGGTGTCACCAGCCTCTGCTCCAGAGGCTCAGAGAGAAACTCCCTGGACGGCAGCGAGCAGGCAAGCGCACAGCTGGACTGGTGGGCGGTAGAGGGAGAGTCCGGGAAGGAACAAAAACAGTGACCCCCCAGGAGTACCTGGATTGGAACCCTGCACCAAAGACCCTGGAGACCAGCCCACCGGGGAAATGAAGGAAAACTCCCGCCAACCCTGCTGCTTCCTGAGCTCCAAATCCCACCTGTCCTCGGTGCCCTGCAGCCCCAACTTCTACCAGCTTCCCCATTCAATCTCTCTTTCCTCCACCTACTTCCCTCCGCTCCCCACTGAGACCCTGTTTCATCCAAGACCATCAGCACCTCCTCAGATAGGCATTCCCCAAAACGGAGGGCATTGCCCTGTGCAGTCAAAGTGCCTAGCTTTCTTCTTGACAGGAACCAGCCTGGGAAGAAGGAAGAAAGGCTGGGCACAGGCAGTGAAGCTGTGGGTGACACGGGTGACATGGAAAGGCCCCCCTCCCCCACCCCGGGCCTGCTTCCTGCCTGGCAACTGGTAGGAAGACAGTGCTACCACTACTTTCCTAATGGGTCCAGGAGGGAACCAGACTTACTGCTCAGCCATGAGGGCATTTCTCAGAGAGCAAAGGCAGAGGGGGAGGCAAAAATAAGAGGAGAGGGCCCATGTGAAATGAACAGTTAGAGATGATTCTTCATTCTGGCTGCAGAGCTACACCCACTCAGGCCTCCATTTAAGGGTAACAATAACAACCAAAAAAGTTTCATAGTCAGCAGGTTTTGAGATGAGCATCTCTGCAACTCGTCAGATCATACGATGGCCAGGTGTGCTCTGGCATCTCCCTACTAGCGTCTCGAACAGATACCACTTTTCATTATGGACCCTGTCTTGTCATCACCTTCCTTCCCCGCCCCGTCCTCTTCACACCTGAAGAATCCCCATGCTCTAAGAGCTTTGGCTTTCTCAGCATTTCTGCGTCAGGATCCCGGAAGTAGCCAAGCAAGCGCCTCCTGCTCACTGACCTCGACCCTTCCCCAGAAGCCAAAGGTGCATATCTGGGAGTGGGAAGGGGGCGCAGGGAGGGGAAGAGGCCGCTCACAGGGCACAAACTCTCAGGGTTCCTATCTGGTCTGACGCTGAGTGGATGGATGTTCCACCGTGAATGCTATTTGCAAGGGTCATCACTGTAAGCGAAAAGAGTCCCGGCTCTTGGCTGGGTGACCAGAGTGTGGAAAAAGCAAGGAGAGGGGCCACGCCTGCGCCCCCACCCCAGCGTGCCGCATCTGTGTGGCTGCCAGCCCCCCATGCCACAGTCGTGCTTTTACCCTCTCGTGGTGGGGACTCTGCTTGCCACGGCTGTCAGCATCAAGATCGCTGTACGTCTGTTGGCAACAAAATAGAAACTTAAGCTCCATCCAAATGCTCTATCTGGACCTACTAAGTGACAGCCCCAGAAAGTGAGAGCTCATTTCAACACATAACCTGTTGTCTACTGGTCCCCAACCCCAAGTAACCACAGTCCCGTCTACATCAAATCCTGTGACCCAAGGGCAGCTCTGCAGAGCTGTTCTCCCACCTGGCCTCCAACGAGGTCAGCTACGTGGATAAATAAGGAACTACGGTTAGTACACAGGTGGAACAAACATATTTCTTTCACACAGCGGCACGTGATCAGAGGCATTCAACGGAAGGCTAACAGGAGAGGCAGGTTAGAAGGGTGAAGCTTCCACACCAAGGCATTAGAGGCGACAACAGCCCACGGGAGACTCCAAGAGCGCACAGCACTAAGGGGCGAGGGGAGCACAGAAGCTGCACCCAAGAGGCTGGGGACCGTGACCCAGGCCCACGCCGCCTCCGCTGCCCTGAGGAAACCACTAACACAGTGACGTGGGGTTGGGCCGTCTAGGCCCCTAGTCACTCTCTGGATAGCCCAGCACTCACCGTATGGCCCTGCCCTGCTGCAAGAACTGACCCGGAGCTCCCGACGTGGCCACTCTGTTGTCCAGAGCCCGTGAGCGCGCAGTGTCCGCGGGCAGGACGAGGCCGGGGCTCGGGCTCCAGAGTCACACCACTTGGGTTCAGCTCCTAGCTCTCTGCTCACTGTGTGACTTCGCACAACTACTTGGCCCCCCTAGCCTGCACCACGGTCTCCTCATCTGTAAAAGGTGAGGATAACAGGACCTGCCTCGTAGGCTTATTGTGAGAACAGACCAAGAAAACAGACACAGGAAAAGCACTGAGAACACTGCCTGAGTCAGAGGAAATGCCCCACGTTGGTTCTTGGGCAGAGACAGGGCCCAGGGTGGTCACTACCCTACAAGGGTTCAGCGTCCAGACCCAGGGACATAGGCTGGGCCCCTGCATATCAGACACATTATGGGATCACCTTCTAAATAGGCTACCATAGCTGAGAAAATGTCTTTCCATAGATCCTACCTTCAAAATCAGTGTTTTACTTTATAGGGACATACAACACAAGTGAAAAAAGCCGTTCTATAAACGCACTTCATACGAGCGTGCTGGCCGCAAAGCACGTGGGGTTAACTCGCCTTGAAGCACTTCTCCAGTGGTCTGCCTGGACAGTGAGTGGGGCGGACGGAAAGGGCAGCTGTTTGTTGGCAAAAGCTGGATAAGCAAGAGGCAGGGCTCTCAAAATCAGAAGGAGCCAAACTCACAGAGTGGAGCCCTATAAAAAGCTTCCCAACATTCACCTTAACAGTATCTCCTTGGGCAGCAAGACAAAAATGGCTGATTTCAATGGGGTTACATAAAAATGCTCTCCAGGGCTTTTGGACCTCGCATCTGTGTCAAGTACAGTTTAAATTTTAGTTTGTGGCTGCACAGTTGTAGTCCTGTGATGCGGGACTAGATTAAACTACCCAGGGTTTGAACGGACGATGTGCTATCCTGAGGCCCACCAGCAAAGGTCGTTTCGCCAGTAAGTCATCACTGTAAATGAGGGGATCCTGACTTGGTCTCTCCCCTGGCCACCCACACAGGCAGGCAGGCACACAGGACAGCGGAGCATGCAGAGGGGGTCACCTGCTGGTCGCCACGTGCCCGACAGGGAGGCGGAGTAGGGGGAGGAGAGAGAGTGATCACTTTTTTGGGGCAGGTCCGAGAATGCTCCTTTTCCTGTCGCTTTTACGCCAATAGACACAAACAGAGAGAACACAGGTGAAATGGTGGCCACGTTGAGGCTGGGTCTGGAAGGACTGAAGGCATTTGCCAAAAGCATCCCAGAGGCCCTTCCCCACCCATCCATCCTCAGCACAAACTGGCGTGTTCAGGCAGGGGCCTGTCCCGCCTGTCGTGGCCTCGGGGCAGAGGTGCTCTGTCTGCAGATCCCAGAGTCATCTCTGCAGCCACTGCGGGGTCAGGACTTGCACAGCAGCACTTTCTAAATGCCAGGGACCAGGGCATATTCTTCTCTGCTGGCTTATCAGGGAGGCTGGGGGGTAAAAGGGGCTCAGTTACAAGTAGAGAGAAGGGCACACAGACTCCCGTTACGGGGGGAGCGTGGCGACTGCTGCCCACAGCGGGGGCGCCCGGGCACCTGCAGCAGCAGACCAGCACCTCCTGGGCCACCCACGCCCACGTCCTGCCACTGCTTCCCCCTGCTCAGTCCCCTCACTCACACGCGGAAGGTTCTGGGAGACGACCACAGAAATACAAGAACGAACAGGAAACAGGGTATAAAATTAACACCTTTCGCTAACTGACACCACACAATGTCTGTGGATCACTTTCCCACGGTGTCCGCTTCCTGTGAACCTGTCTCTGATTGACAGAACCCTGCAGTGCTAAAGGAACCACCAGATTCCCGAGTCAGAGGAAGCCTCAGGTTCCTCACGTCCAGAGCTACCGTGTGAGGTGGCTCCCAGCAAAGCCTGGAGGGGAAGAGGCCACAGAACCCACTCCTCTGTCTGTTCCCACACCACTGACCATCTACAGCCAAACCAAGGCTGCTTAACCGCAGAATTCGCCTGCAGGACCCATTTCTGAGATCAGAAGGGGATGAGGTGGGGAGGGAAGAGCCGGGTGACGCCACAGGAAGGTGACGAGAAGCGAGCATCCCCACACTCTTCCTCACCACTGTGCTCGCCACACCCGCCTGCCTCAGTTGGAGCCGCTTCCAGGGGAACAGCAAGTGAGTCACAGGAAGGCACGCCGTCAGCCCCCAGGGCGCACCCCTGGACTTCCTGTGCCCCTGGACTGGTGCGTCAACTGGCGTGGCCCTCCAGTGCTCTGTCTTTCAGGGGATAAATGGGCAAAGCAAGGCTCATAACGCCATCCCTGACTTAGCACTGGGGATAAGTCGTTTGTGAACACATCTCAGGAGGACGTGAGAGCTGTGTGACACGGGTCCTCTCACAGCCCAGCACATTACAATTCCGCTCTACACATAGGATCTAACGGGGTCCAGCTACCCGGCTGCTGCTCCTGACCGGCATCTCCGGTACCCCTTCCCCAGACCAGGCTTCACTTTAAGGGTCTGTTCGGCCTGGAGAGCCTGGCGGTACATACTCAACGCCACCAACCGTGATCACAAATCACCTGGGTGCGTCAGGCAGCACCCGCACAGGCTGGAGGCTCCCAGCCGCTGCAGCAACAGGAGAAGCAGGGCTCTGGGCACCCCTGCAGCCCAGCACCCAGCGGAAGCCAAGCCCATCTTCCACGGGACGGAGGCAGCAGTGGCGGTCGAGCCAGCCCCTCGGGTCCCTGACCCGGGCTTCCTGGGATGCCCACCCAGAGCCACTCCAGGACGTGCCACTCAGAGTCACCTCTTCACCCACCAACTGTGCTTCCCTGTCTCAGTCCACCTCCGTGACTAGTGTAAGAACCTGGGAATGTAATGCAGAGTTCACCTTCCCCTTTAGTAATACTCAATTCAAGACTGACCTTCAAATCATACCTTCCACCTAGACTTCAAAGGTCTACCCTAGGCAAAGGGCAAGTAAGGAAAATAGAAGTGAATTTCTAATGAGTTTTCCTCAGAAGACCTCCCCTCCCCAAGCATGGGGAGAGAGGCAGCTTGGCTTCATGGTGACTTTGGACGCTGCTCCCAAGCTTCCACCTCAGCCTCACGGGCCCTGCCTTAACGTGCATATTATCAAAAGAAAAGTCAGAAAGAAACATTCTGCCCTAAGTGTAATTCAACTCAAATCTAACTCACCACTCCCCAGCACCTCCCAGCACAGGAGGGAATCAGGGTCAGCCCCTCTGACTGCTCAGAACCCCAGTCCTCAGCGATTCCAAACCAAGAGACAGCAAACCCAGGCCGCACTCAGGGCTGTGACATGGGGGGAACAGAGCAGAGGCCTCCCATCACTCTGGCGGGTTTCCTGTTCCCCGCCAGGCGCCAGCCCCTCTTTCTTTCCGCCCCACTCTATACTATGTAGGAGAAGCAGCTTTACAGGAGATCTTGCAGAAACTTTAGTGAAAATTTCCAAAAAGAGTATTTTAAATGTGGACAAAACACTGAGAAAACGCCCATGATCATCTCTGTCCATGATCTGAAACAAGGAAAAAACCAGTTTGAGACTATTTCTTGGGTAACATTTTCCTGTTTAACACGAGAAGACCACTGCCCCGAGCCCCAAGCTCTAGAAACTCGGGATTGTCCTCCAGGGGTCACGCAGATGCATTTCAGCCAAAGGTCAACTTGGGACAAAGGTTATAACAGCAAAACCCCAAAGGCTAAGTACCTGAACACAGGTACCACATAACTTCAGCTAGTTTCAACACCAATATAACAGCCCACCCTTTTCACGGGTTTCCCAAATCCCAAGGAGTTAAACAAGTCATGCAATACTATCAGTAGTGTCTGTTAAACCTTCCCCCAGAGTCGCCACTCAAATGAGCACAGAGATCCCTACCCCGTGACCTAGGGCTCTACAGTGCAGGCCCCACCCGGCTGGCTCGGAGGAGGAGCAGGTGGGAAGGCCCAGCACCCATTCTGGTCCCTGGGCAGTTCCTTTACCTGTTTCCACTGGGGGGCGGGAGCAGGGCGACCCTGCTCAGGCAGGCAGCAGGACGGCTGGCTGAGCCCACGCTCTTGTGTCGGCTGTGACACACAGGCCAAGTATTGGATAGGGGACAGGACACGGAGACAAAAAAAAAAAAAAAAAAAGCATTAAGGTAGCAGACACAAAAATGGTTCTCCCGGAGGATAGACACTCATCTAAGAACTGAAGGAGGGTGCACAGAATTAGTTCTAGGAAGTTATACTTACAAAGGAAAATCCTCCCTCCCCAACTTGGGCGAAGCCAAATGCAAAAGAAAAGATAAACAGAAACTGTAATTCTGATTATCCTTTTCCCAAGCTCAATGCTCTGAGCCTAAACCACTAATTCTGGCTTGGAAAATGAATCTTTCCACTCAAAATGAGTGGGGACACACTTCCTCTAGTGGAGAGCACCCCAGCCTTGCTGAGGAGGATGGAACCTGGGCTGCTACGGCCGCCCGGCAGCCTCACACGTTCACAATCGAGCCTGCACGCTCTCTGTGGGCCTCGGCACGAACGCCTGGAGCGTGAGGATCTAACCAAGCACTAGACGTGGGAAGAAGTCAGTGATGGGGTCGGCCTGGTCCCTGGTCCACAGGAACAAGGGCTGGCGCACGTGGCGAAGATGAAGAGGTGCTCCCCGCACACGGAGTTTTAGAAGAAATGTTCATTGTGGATCTCACAATGCCTGTACCTCCTCTTGTGAGAAGCCTTAGTGACTTTTAGACAAGCAAGAGGAGAGACGAGACCTAACAGACATGGCAGTCCAGCCCTCGGCAGGACTTGGGGAGTGAGGGCAGTCCACGGAGAACCTTTACAGTGCTCACACTCGTGACCTAGTTCAAGGACAGTTAGGAAAACCATGTGCAACACACAAGAGTGTCTACCTCTCTGCCCTTCATCAAAGATGAGAAACAACTAAACATCCAGCACCAGAGGAAGAGTTAAGAGAAGCATGGAGCACACACTTTGGAAGAGGCTTATAGAGTTTGGAACATGGAAATACACCCGAAGTTACACGAAGAAAGCAGAACAGGAAAGTGTACGTTAAGAATGACCTCAACCATGAAAACAAGAATGCACTAAAAAAAGACCAGAAAGAAACATAGCAAAACATTAACAGAATTATAGGGGCCTTAATTACACTTTCCAGTATTTTCCTCAACAAGCAGGGACCTCTTATATTACTTACGTATGCATGTACGTGAACACACACCTACGTACACAGACCTGGACACCCCGTTTTAAAGATCCTCAGGTGGGCCTGGCTGGTAAGGACAGGAACCCTCGTCCCTGCCTCACGCAGACGCCAGTCTCGAGCCCTGAGCCCTCAGCACCGGGAAGTTCCCTGTCTCACTCACTAACCCCCCTTTCCTCTGTGGCCAGCCCAGGTCCGGGCGGGCGAGGTGTGAGCCGGGCTTACCTGTCTCCTCACGCCCGTGGACTGCGCGGGCGCGTTCTCCTCAAACTTGGCCAGCAGCTGGGTCGCCATGTACTTCACCTTGTTCTGGTTGCCAAGGGCCACATCCACCCTCCGGTCGCTCAGTGTGCTCACCAGCGTAGGCCTTCCTCCTCTGTAGCCCCGGGGTGCGTCCTCCTGGTGAACAGGGGTATCAAGAGCCAGCCTCGGTTAGAGGAGCCCCTGCCCACACCCCAGGGCCTGGCACAGCGGCTGGTCCCTGCTTTAGGTCGAGCTCGGTGGCTCTCCTCAAGGTTCAAATCTCAAGATGGCCTCGGGCCCAGGGGCAGTATGAAGAGGTACTCGGGCTCTTGCTGGTGTGGTCACATCCCAGGAAAGCTGCTGCCCTTCGCCACATATGGGATTCCAAAGAGACAGGAAGGCCCAGAGCACATGTGTGCGTTCCCTGGATGCTCTCCAAAAAATTACACAAAGGCAAAAGGCCACAGAAAGCATCTGTGCACAACAATTCTCACAAAGAGTGAACTGAAAAGATCTAGCAATACCGATTTGGGAATTAAGCGTTTCAGCCAAGGAGGGCAATTCAGTACAATCTTTCTGGCAAATTCCAGATATTTCTCACCTCTTCCGACTGGCTGGTCTTTCTCCTCTTCCCAGCACCATCCAAGTCCTTTTCCTTTTTGTCCTGCACCAAGAGCAAAGGGAAACCGCATTCCTCTAGTCACTGCACTGTACCATTAGTTCTGCAGCTGGAGGAAAAACCCTTCCACTTACCTTGGGAGAGCGCTTCCGAGAAATGGTCTGCCCCAGCTTGCTCAGGAAGGAGATAGGGGATTTAGTGCTGGCTACCAGGACGGCCCTCTCCTCAGCATTCAGGTCCAAGGCGTCTGTGGGCAGAAACCAGCAGTGTCCAAGGACAGCCCTGAGGGTGCCTCCTTGCAGGAGGCTCTCGGAACCTCAGGAAGCTCTGAGGGTTTGTGCACTCTGAACCCCACAGAGAAAATGCACACGGAGCCCTGGACGCTGGGCCTTCTCTTCTCCATCCATACAAACAAAACCAACGCTTGCCCCAATCCACTTCAGTCACAAAATCCTCCACTTTTGCTTTTCAGACGCTGCAATCTGCTTGCTGATTACAACAGAGTGCCGAAGCCTCACTTCAAGATGAAAAGTTCAGGTCGGGAGAGAAAGGGAGGGGCATCGGCGGGGAGGAGACGGGACTCGGGTCATGGGTTCAGAGTGTGCTTGTTGATGTCAGAGTTGTGCATGTCTGTTGTAAGAACTGCATCTCTAATGAGAGAAAGCCACAGATGTCTACAAGTACATGGGCCAGAAGCACTGGAGAATGGTACCTAAACTCTGTGGGTTCCAATGTTTTATTAGTAACAATAGTAATGTTGAAATAATAATTGAAACTAATAATACATTGCTAACATTTGTTTAAGTGCTTCCATTCGCCAAACACTCTTCTTAGCGTACTACAATCTAGCCATGTACATATTATCCCCACTTTACAGATGGGGAAACTGAGGCACAGGGAAGTTTAGTGACTTTAGGTGGAGGCAATGGGATGTAAACCAGGTCAGGTACCATGGTCAACACTTGTAAGCATCATGATGCTTACTCAGTCTGTTTTCTGACAGCCTGAGGGCCAAGGGAAGATTTTTGGAAACACTAAAAGGTAGGAGAAGAAAGAGAAGACAGAGAAGGAACAGTTAACAGAAGAAAGAGAACAAAGCAAGTATAGTCCGGGATCACAGAAGCCAAGAGGAAGAGAGAATTTCAAGAGAAAGGACGTCATTCCAAGGGCTGAACAACGCAGAACAGCTGGGTACCTGAGAGGTGAGAGAGGAGGGAAGAACATGCATCTGGTGATTCTTCACGACCACGGACAACAGTTTTGGCCGGGTTGCAAAGGGTCACAAAGATTAGGCAGTGAGGAAGTCCAGGCCACAGCAAAAGCACCTTTTCAAAAAGTCTGGTTCTGAGAGAAAGGGAACAAGGGTGGTGGAGTCAAGGACAAGGTTCTAGACGGGAATGCTCATGGCCTCCACAACTGCAGGTTTGCTGAGCAAGACCCGGGTCAGAACGACGGGCTGACAACAGTGCAGAGAAGCGGGTCTGCTGGAAGAAGGGGCACAGGGGAAGGAGAGGCAGGGGAGCCACACGGCAGCACCCCTGGGGGGCCCTTACCTCGGGAGGGGAGCGAGTCCCTGAACATCTCGTAGAACTGGGTCAGGTACATCACCATGGACAGCTTGTCCGGCTCCCCCACCGAGGCCATCTCTCTGCCTGTCATGATGGGAGAAATGCCCAGCTCCTTCTCAGCAATATCAAAGGCCAGCTGGTTATTCTTCTCCACATTTTGCTCATCCAAAGAATCAAAATCTCTGAGAAACAGGACGAGGAAAATGTGTCAAGATGGGCTGCTTGTCCCCAGACCAGAAAACATGGTATCACAGAGTCATCATTATTTCTCGGTCTTTCAGCTAAAATCCAGTGTGCAGGCCTCACTGAAATCGGAGAGCAAACCTCTCTCTCTCACTTCCTTTTACTAATGAAATGAAAATCATCCTCAGGGAGAAGAAAGGATTAACAATCTACCCATAAGAGAAAAGAGGGGAAAAGTTGGAAAACATAACATTTTATCAATAACATAAAGTTCTTACTAAAATGTGAGCTCAAGAAAAGGAACTGTTTCTGTTAAGTTTCTCCTGTGCCCCGTGTATGGTCTGCATGTATTAAACTCAGGCTCAACAACAATAAAGGTCCTATTTGGATCAGGCTGTGTCTAAAGGCCTGGAACCATCACCCCCTGTGTCCTTTGGAGCTGACAAGCTGTTGATGTACTAAATCAGCTCTGGTGAATCTTACTCAGCCTTCCCCTCTAATTAAAAGGGAAATTCCAAAACTTTCCTCAGAAGATTTCTCCACTGCTAAATTTCCTAAGTATTTAGATTAACAAACATTTCCCACTGGGTTTCAGGCTTCTTGCTATTCAATCAAGTAAAGACTGACAGCATCCTTCTTTAGCTAATTTCAGATTAACTGGGCAGGCCTTATTTTGTGTTAACCTGCTGACTCCGCAACCGTTTTTCGTTTTTTAAACTCCTTTACTCTGTATGTTAAGCCTACTAAACTGTGGCAGGGGGCGGGGGGGGCCTCATCCTGAGTGACGTCACGGCAGCTTAAACGGTGCCAAATTAGCTACTCACGGCTCTGTGCACCGTCAGGAGGAAATGCCCGGGCCCCTGGCAGCCTTCGGTCCATTCCCACAGGAGTGTGTCCCCTCGGCACCAGGCTCCCTTCAGGGACTCCTGCCCTCCCCCTTCTGCCCTGCCCTCCCTCTGGACTAGGACTGACTTGCCTGGCCCTTCTCCTGAGCACTTCTGTGTCATCCACCGCAGTCGTTCTCAGGCTGCCCCCTGCCCCCCAGAGGGGTCAATAAGCCCTACTCCAACTCAGTTTTCGCCAGTCTCGGCGTGAGCTAAGGGACAGGGGCACAGAGGCCACTTCCGCTTATCAAGCACGTCAGCACCCCCACTCCTAAGCACTAGGTGAAGCCCCTTTCTTTTATTAACATAAAAGAGAGCCAGATCTTTCAGGATTCCTTAAGTAATCATTAGAACAAAACAAATACACAAAAATGGGCCCGTAAGTGGACCTAATGATGAAAGGACATACAGCCAAAATAATGCCACATGCTCTGCTCGTTTCCGAATCTTCTTGTTTGGCTTCCATGGTAACGAATGCCTACGGGGAAATCTGGGTGCACCGGTCACCACAGCTGACCTGGGTCATCCTGTCATACTAGTCTGCATTTAGGTGAGTAGAGAATGACCAAAAGAGGAAATGTCACCACACAGGTGCGTAAGGCCACCTGAGTGTTAGGGGTGTAACAGAGCACGCTTGCAAAAAGTGCAAGAGACAAGAGACAATGCCGACAAGCCCCGGCGAATGGAGGAAGTGCTTTGCTGGTAGTGACACGCGTGCCTTCAGCCCACACTCCGGCCAGGCTTTCCTCGTGACCAGCAGCACTGGAGAGAGAGCTGGCTGAACGCAGAGCTCAGCCTGGGGCCAAGAAACAGAGTTTTCCTTCCTGTGATGTTAACAGGCCCGGGGGTGTTATAACCAGTTTTCCACGTTTTGAGTGCTGAGACTTTACAAACAGCTAATAATTCCTGGGTTGAGCTACATAATGCCTAACAGACACAGCTTTAAATATAACTATAAATTAAAATTAGTGACTGACTTCCAGAAGAAGTATCTTATATATATCTCGTTCTAGGAAAAGGTACAGAGTTTGGCCACTTGGAAGCAGGGCACTCGCAAGTCCTGTGGGAATACAGATGAAGCAGAGCCTGTTCTCACATCAGATCAGGGCGGTATCTGTGGATGACGGCACACAGGGCCAGGCCGCTCTTCCACGACATGGTGAGGTCCGTCACGTTCACCCCAGCGTAGCCATCTGTCTGCCGCTGGCACCAACCCAGCAGTTTGCTGGAACGAGCCACAGACTCTAAAACAACAACAATGTTATTATTGGAAGTGCGGTCACCTGGTAGCTTTGATAGGGAATCCACATAACCAGGTTGAAAAAATACTGAAGGCAAGGACAAAATAGTCGTCACTGGTTTTCAAAAGTAAGAAGTTACTTAACTGGTATCATAAGAGTGGAATTTAATTTAATTTTTTTTTCTTTTGGCTGTGCGGCGCGGCTTGTGGGATCTTAGTTCCCCAACCAGGGATCAAACCCGGGCCCACAGCAATGAAACTGCAGAGTCCTAACCACTGGACTGCCAGGGACTTCCCATGGAATTTATGGTAGACAAGAAACTACCAATTTATCCAGACTCTGAGGTCAACGTCCCTGCCCCGTCCATGACAGATCACAAGTGGACGCTGTGGATCCTCTCACGCTGAAGCCCAGGGTCCCGGCCACTCTCCAGGACAGGGACGTACGGGAAGGGTGCCACCTGCTGAGCTGTCACCCTCACACGTGATGGCTCTAAGATTTCCCTGGAGAGTTGTCTGGCAGGTGGCGGAGGAAACGCCTTCCCTTCAAGGTAACATTGGGGGCACCCGAGAAGAAACGTTCCATTCCACCTAGCAGCACGTTACACACTTGCTCTCACACTTTCCAAGGTACCAAGCAATCTGCCAAGTGAAGAAACTTTGCAGGACCACACAGGCAAGGCCAAGGACGCCAGACCAGGCCAGGCTTGGCACTCAGTATGACAAGTGGTCACATCTTGAAAAACTCAACGCATAGACACACATACTGGGACGTCTTCCAGTCACTGATGTGTCTTCTAAACCACGAAGAGCCTTTATAAAAAACCGTTTTTCATGATCACATCTGAAGAGCTCTGATATGGAACATTTAGATCAGATTAGATCATTTAGAAGAATCTGTGAACTCCTATTTGTGTCCAAGAAAGTCTGTTCCTTACCTTACGCAGCTGAAAACACTTAACCTTATACTAAGCCATTTGTACATAACAAATTTGTGAACATAACAAAATAAAAACTGCATATCTAAAAATCCCGTTTCACTTCAGTCTTTCAGGGAAAATGTATCCTGAAATGACACAGAGAACTCCTGCTGGTGTCACCATCATAAGTCTCCTGGCTTCAGAAATTCACTTCATTCAGATGTCTCCCAAGTCTGTGTATCCACTGATCCAATATGTACTGGACGACTTCAATATTCCAGGTTCTAGAATAACAGTGAACAAAGACACACTCTCTGGGCACTTCCCTGGCGGTCCAGTGGTTAGGACTCCATGCTCTCACTGCCTAGAGCCCAGGTTCAATCCCTGGTCGGGGAACTAAGATCCCGTGAACCGTGCGGTGCGGCCAAAAATAAATAAAAGACACACTCTCTGCTCTCAAGGAGACGGCACCCAGTGGAGGGGGACGAAAACGTTCCAGCCGCCTGCTGGGGGCCACCTGCCTTGATGTCCCAACAGCGTGTCGAATTCAAAATGCCCATGACAGAGCTCAGTTCTTCTCAGCCCTGAGTCCTTGTTCAGACTCTGCCAGTGCTTCTCGGCAGCCACTTCTGACGCCCCGCTGCACGCCAGGTGCTGCAGCGAACACCCCGACGTGCCCCTGAGTCCTCGCAGCCAACGTGAGGTGGGCATGGTACCCCCACTTTGCACACACGGAAACCCAAATTCAGAGACGCCATGTATGCTGTCAAGCCACACGCTTCACGGACGGGCATAGCTGGACTGGACGCCGTCTCCCTTCTCATCCGCGGCATCAACACCGGACCGGCCAGCCTGACCATTGGCGCACTTCTAAACTACCTGCTCTGCCCCAGTGCCCTTCTCTGTCCCAGCTCACCTGCATCTGGCCAGTCACTCTCCTTTTAAAGAACACTTCAGGGGCCTGCACCGCATGAGCTCCGCCTCCATCACTGTGTCCTGCAGCCAGTGGTCCTCAGCTAAGAAGCCACTGCTTCTTCTGTAAAGCCTTCCCTGAAAACCTTGGTTGGCGTGTGTGCTCCCAAGTCCGCACCCCTGTCCTCGCAACAGCACCGTATCTGATTTCTCGTTATACCCTCGCGACACCTTAGACCAGGTTTCCCAGCCTCGACAGCACTGCTGCTTTAGGCAGTTGATCCTTCGCTGTGGGGCTGACTTGTGTACCACAGGGGGCAGAGCAGTAGTAACCTAACCCCCCAAGTCCTGACACCCAAAAATGTCTCCAGACACGACCAAACGTCCCCTGGGGGCAAACCACCTCCGGTGAGAACCATGTACATGAGAGCCAGTACTGTGCGCACCAACAGCTCAGCCAATTACACAGACGCTCTCGACGGCAGAAAGGCCATTACCAGGACTCACCATTGCGGGACAATTTTGGGGTAGTTCGGGAATTCACGAGGTTCTCCATCTCCAGGTGAATATCTTTTGTTTCTCCAGTATCATACAGATGGCGCACCTGGCAGGAAGTTTACAAGTTGTAAAGAAGGAAAATCACATACCAAGTAATAAATTGCCGACTGAGAGCACACTGACTGAAGTGGAAGGCTGGGGAAAGTGTAGTCAGAAGGTATAACGCCAACCTTAATCCTTTCTGGGATACGGTGGGTCACGTACACACAAATGCGTGTGACCTGTAAGAACCTGTGCTCAGAGACAGCCACAGAGGGCCCTCGCACAGTCTCTGCTGGGCCATTACTGCTGCCCAGTGCCAGCGGGTTTCCCCCACAAACACAGAGGCCTAGATGTAAAGTGAATAAGAAATTACTCTAGAACACAGGCAAATACGTTGAATGGGCTGCTTTCTCAGCATTGTTGGGCTCCCGGGGATTATTATGCTTTGTAAAATGCCACTCTCAGTGCAGTAACAAGGCTTTAGACGTTCTGAGTTGGCCGGCAGTGTCTTTTACTTGCAGAGGGTCTTATCTTTCCACGTTTTCTCAAGTGACCAGTGCTGTCTGCCTGCACAACGATCCTGGGAGCAGCAGGGATGGTGACCTCCATGGTACAGATGGGGAAACAAGTTCAGGGAAGGTGAGCGGCAGCCCCCGGGTCACGGTGACTGGTGGCAGTGACGCAGGTGCCTGCTGCACGTCCTGACTAGAGAACGAGGGCTGAGCTCCTGCACTGTCCACGGGAACCAGGAGATGGGACACAGCCCTCCGGTCACCAGACAACCCGCTGCCCTAGCTGGTCAGTCTGCTGATGGCAGATGCCTCCCTCAGCCAACTCAGGAAGACGTGTGCTTGGATTGGGAAGGAATGCTGTGTGCGCCTGTATTCACAGAGTCTGACTGGTCCTGACCGTGGCTGGGACACGGATGACGGGCCAGGGGCGCTTACCTGGCTTGGCCGGAGGAAGTTGACGTTCATGTTGGGGTATCTGGTGACGGGGTCTATGCTGTACTGGCTGAAGTTCTTGCTCACATTCTCGGGGGTGGTCTGAGGCAGCAACCTATAAATGCTTTCCCTGCAACAATGAACAACAGTGCGCTCAGAGCAGTGACAGCACCAGAAGCTCCTCCCTCTCCTTTGATGATATTTCTATTTTCTGACAGTCCAGGGTGGAACAAATCCTCCTCCTTGTCGGGTTGCCTCCAACCCCACATCAGCCCTGGCTTCCCATCCCCACCATCTCAATGATCCCACAGGCACCAGACTGTTAGGGGCCAAGGAGAAGGGCAAGTCCACTGCTGTGGGCAGGGAGCCAAGTCTCACTCTACTTTACTGCTGCGCTGTTTTGTTTTTTTTTTAATTTTTATTTTATTTATTTATTTATTTATTTATGGCTGTGTTGGGTCTTCGTTTCTGTGCGAGGGCTTCCTCTAGTTGCGGTGAGCGGGGGCCACTCTTCATCGCAGTGCGCGGGTCTCTCACAGTCTCTCGCAGCCTCTCTTGTTGCAGAGCACAAGCTCGAGACGCGCAGGCTCAGTAGTTGTGGCTCACGGGCCTAGTTGCTCTGCAGCATGTGGGATCTTCCCAGACCAGGGCTCGAACCTGTGTCCCCTGCATTGGCAGGCAGATTCTCAACCACTGTGCCACCAGGGAAGCCCCTGCTGCGCTGTTTTAGCAAGTAGGCCAATGTTTAATTTTTAAGAAAATCACTGATGAACAAAACTTGCCACCAAATTTACCCAGAGTACCTTAGGTAACAGACTTAAAAATGGTATCGACCACTAATTTCATCCAGCAAATCCTCTTTCTCTAGCTCTGGTCAAGGCACTTGTTCTTTATTAGCAAGCGAATCCAAGACCTTACCTCATCTGCAATTATCTGCTTCACAATGTCTGACAGTTGAGAGTCAATGTTCACAAGCACTTTGTTGTTTTCCTTTGGATTCGAAGTCACTTTTAATTTCTTCTCCTATGTTAGTACATCCCCTGCTACCACACTGATTTCATTAGTACAAGTCTCTCTAATTTAAGGACAGGAAGATTAAATGCACTATTTTCATGTACTGGGTTGGCCAAAAAGTGCCTTCGGTTTTTAAGTAAAAACTAAAGACACATTTTTCATTTTCACCAAGAAATTTATTGAACAATGTATTTACCCTTTTGTTCCACTACCTTCTGCCATTTTTCAGACAACTTCATAATTCCATCTTCCCAAAACTTTTTATCTTTTTGAGCAAACAACTGTTCCAGGTGCCTTTTACAGTCTTTCAGGGAACTGAAATTTTTTCCATTAAGAGAATTTTGTAAAGACCGAAATAAATGGAAAATCCAAAGGTGCAATGTCTAGTGAATACAGCAGATGAATCAGAACTTCCCAGCTAAGCTGTAACAGTTTTTGCCTGGTCATCAAGGAAACACGTGGTCTTGCGTTATCCTGATGGAAGATTATGCATTTTCTGTTGACTGATTCCAGACGCTTTTCGTCAAGTGCCACTTTCAGTTGGTCTAATTGGGAGCAGTGCTTGTTGGAATTAATCGTTTCGTTTTCCAGAAGGAGCTCATGGTAGAGGACTCCCTTCCAATCCCACCATATACACAACATCACCTTCTTTGGATGAGCACCCCCCTTTGGTGTGGTTGGTGGTGGTTCTTTTCGCTTGCCCCACGACCTCTTCCGTTCCACATTATTGTACAGTAACCACTTCTCATCGCCTGTCACAATTTGTTTTAAAAACGGAATTTTTTGCTACGTTTAAGTAGAGAAACACATGCGGAAATATGGTCAAGAAGGTTTTTTCCGCTTAACTTATGTGGAACCCAAACATCAAAACGATTAACATAACCAAGCTGGAGCGAATGATGTTCAGCCCTTGATTTGGATATTTTGAGTATGTCGGCTGTCTCCCGCGTGGTGTAACATTGATTGTTCTCAATTAATGTCTCGATTTGATCACTATCAACTTCAACTGGTCTACCCAATCGTGGAGCATCGTCCAGCGAGAAATCTCCAGCACAAAACTTTGCAAACCACCTTTGACATGTTCAGTCAGTCACAGCACCTTCTCCAGACACTGCACAAATCTTTTTTTGTGCTTCAGTTGTGTGTTTTTACCTTTCTAGAAATGATAAAGCATAATATGCTGAAAATGTTACTTTTTTTCTTCCATCTTCAATATTAAAATGGCTACACAAAAATTCACCAATTTTGATGTCTTTTTTTTTTTTTTTTTTTTTTTTATTTATTTTTGGCTGCACTGGGTCTTCGTTACTGCGCACAGGCTTTCTCTAGCTCTGGTGAGCGGGGGCTACTCTCTGTTGCAGTGCCTGGGCTTCTCATTGTGGTGGCTTCTCTTGTTGTGGAGCACGGACTCTAGGCGCACGGGCTTCAGTGGTTGTGGCACGCGGGCTCAGTAGTTGTGGCTCGAGGGCTCTAGAGCGCAGGCTCAGTAGTTGTGGCACACGAGCTTAGCTGCTCTGTGGCGTTTGGGATCTTCCTGGACCAGGGCTAGAACCCATGTCCCCTGCATTGGCAGGCGGATTCTTAACCACTGTGCCACCAGGGAAGTCCCAATAAGTCTTTTTTTAAATGCAGGCTGATATGACAGCTGTCACATACAATCTAACAAAATTGTTTCGAAAGAAGTTAAAGACAACTAAGTGCTACTAGAGCCATCTTAGGGAAAAAAACGAATGAACCTTTTGGCCAATCGAATATTTGTTCATGTAGCTGTCACAAAGGAATCAGAGAGCATCCTTCAATGTTACACGAAGATTCAGATACCATTCATAAGTAACAAATTTGATTTGAAAGGGATAAAAGAACATCACTTAGATTAGATAATTTTTAGGTTTCTATGATTTTTGTGTGTGTGTGTATGGTACACGGGCCTCTCACTGTTGTGGAGCACAGGCTCTGGACGCGCAGGCTCAGCGGCCATGGCTCATGGGCCTAGCCGCTCCACGGCTACGGCACGAACCCGTGTTCGGACCGGGGCACGAACCCGTGTCCCCTGCACCGGCAGGCGGACTCTCAACCACTGCGCCACCAGGGAAGCCCTAGGTTTCTATGATTTTATGAATACCTATCTTGCTTTCCCTCTCCTAAATATAAAAACATCATTAATGAAGAAGGAAAGAGAAACCTGAACTCTGCCTGAGGAGCAAACCACTGACCCTCCTGTGTCACCGCGAAAGGACGCCCCTCCGGTTACCTCTCTGCCAGGACTTCCAAGGGGCTCCTTCCCAGAGACCAACTGCGCACCATCCAGGCCGAGTCCATAGCAGCTAGAAAGCCCCGGGCTATTCCTGTTCCCATTGGCCAAAAAGGCTACAGAAACAGAAAACAAAGAATTAACCTGAATTACCTTTTAAAAGAGGGAAACTAAACTAAGGAGGAGAGAAAGAGTTTGCTGTTGAAGAGCAGCTGTACCCTGCCCTTCCCTTCCCTACTTCACAACCTGCAGACGGGCAAGTCACAAAGCCTTTGGAACTGCCACCCACAGTGGCAAGCCTGGGCTCCCCGTGGCCTGGGGCCCTCCCCTGTACACTAGACCGCGTGGCAGTGCAGACACTCGCTCCCCAGCTGGGACCCCAGAGCTGCCCCTCAGTGCGATGCCCCCTCGCCAGGCCTCCAACCCGAACTGCCACCTCCCGCTGCTCAGCACTCACCTCCAGAAGGCTGTCCCCCACCAGGGCCACCAGCAGCTGGTGGCCACCGTGCTCCCGCACCAGGGCCGCGTTCTCGGAGGCGTACATGCACGTGAAGTCGAACATGGCCACGTCGGGCTGCCCGTAGTGGTTGATGGCGAAGTCCAGGGAGGGCAGCTGCTGCTGGGTGGAGAAGTCGGCCGCCTCCCGGGCATAGCTCAGCAGGGCCTCCTGGTCCACATTCTCCCGGGACAGCAGGAGCTCCGTGTCGGCGTAGTCCTATCTCCAGAGGGAGAAGAGGCTCGATGGAAACGCCCAGGCAGGGGCGCCAGAGCCCGCCGGCCACAGCCATGCTGCGCGTTCCAGCCGGAACCTAGTTCCGCAGCCTTCCCCTCCCTGTTCCCAAAGCAGTCTTCTATGCAAATTCAAAAGGAAAGGGGGGAGGCTGTTTCTAAAGGAACACAGGTTTTGCCGCCTAGAAACAGAGCACCCGCTTTTCCATTTACTTGGAACAAGTCACTGCTTCTTCAGTCTAGTCCACTCCACCTCACGGAGTTGCTTTGAATACCAAATACAATGATTCAATGTGATGACGCTCTGTAAACTGAAAAGCATTCATAGTTCAGGCTGCTATCAGCAATCACCGTCTTCTGGGCAGCAGTTGGACCTACACGGGACACTCAACCTTGCATAGCTCATCGAACCCAAAGGAAGAACCTGAAAGCTTCAGTGCCAGAGGGATGAGGAGGTGGGAGCAATAGGAGTCCTGGGGGCCGGGAAGAAATACACTGAAAAGTGGAACAGAAGTCTTCAAAACAATACACAAGATTCTGAAAGTCCCCATAGTAATCCACCAGCAAAGAAAAACAATGATGAGGGAAAAGGGCTTTCCACAGAAGGGATCGAGAAACTCCCTTTCTGTTTTGGAGGCTCTGGCACACTGAGCCAAGTCTTTCTTCTCAAGTGGGATCTAAGCTTTCCAAGTGCCCCTGATGGTACTTTCCGCTGGCACTACAAGATGTAAGAGCCGAACACAAATACTCAGGTTGGTCCCGGAAACTGTTTGTTCAACACTTAGTAAGTGGCCACCATGGGCTCTAAGTCTTAGCTTGGTCCCAAGGCATACCAATGGGTTCACCGGCTATTTCTTACTGATAGAGCATCCAACTAAATATATCTTGCTCACGCTTTTGTCAGAATGGGCTGTGCCCACTGCTCTGTCCTGTTCTCCTCACACGCATAAGGGGCCACGGGGCTGAGACACAGACACGAGGTCCACGAGCTCCCAGCTCCCAGTTCCCCAGCACCGCCTGCAGACAAGGCAGCACCATAACTCAGACTGCAGTCACCCGACTCATCATCACCCTGCAAAGACAAAGGACATCCTGAAATTCGGCCGCCAGTCTGCGCTGGGAACTGCACAGGCCTGAATCACCGCATCTGGTGCCTCTTCTCTCCACTCATCACACAGGGACAGTTAATTCTCAAATCCAGACCAACAAGACCAAGTTAAGACTTAAGAAACTCTCCTTAAGGAGCCATCCACCTGTGGTTCTCTGCGTCCACATTCTGTCATCATCCCAGGGAATCTCATACAATTAGTCATCTGGAAAAAAGGCTTAGCTGGCCCTGGCTCTGGGTGAACAAGAGCCCTCATTGTCAGGCCATAAAGAGGTCCAAATATAGCCTGATCCAGGCACTGTAACCATACCTGCAGTAAAGCCAGAACCGTTCTCAGGCTCCCATAAACACCAGTTTTTGCTTCTTGGTCTAACTCCCTTCCCTCTATAACCCCCTCCCAAAAGATGACCTACTAACCAACCAATAATCGGTCATATATGGAACTCATCATAACCACACACAGAATCACCTGAAATTAAAATGAATATCTATGCATGAAATGCTATCTGAGATTTGCTTTGCACAGCCCAAAGTGGGAGTGGGGAGTGGGCTGGGGTACTCCTGGGACAGTGCTGGCCACGTGCTGACAACTGCTAATGCTGGATAACAGGCACATCGGGGTTCATTACACAAGTCTCTCCACTTTTGTTCGTGCTTGAAATTTTCCATAATAAAAGATTTTTTTTAAGTTAAACTAAAAAACATCAGAGGAGTACAAAGTACATGGTCCCAGGAGATGAGTGAGGCACTCATTTTCATCCCCTTGCAGGAAAAAACTCATCAGACAATAAAATTCTTTCTCTTGGTAATCACATGACCCAGTACAACATAAAAAGCGGTTTAAAAGAAATCCGCGACTCACGTGCAGTATCACCCCTTTGTCCAGTAAACTCTGCTTTTTGGCTGTCATAACAAAATAGTGTGTGTCATCTTTGTAATAGACGATGTTCTCCAAATCGATCCCTGCAACAGAGAACAACATGCACATAAGGGTCTGCTGAGATGAAGGTGGGTTAGGCAGCCAGAGAGACTCTCCTGGCCCACAGAGGCCAGGGTTGTGGAACTCCAGACAGGGAACGAGAAAATGAAAAAGGCACCTGAGCCTGATCCTCACCTCCTGCACATTTGTTCATGAAAAGGGGGGGAGCTCTGGTTATCCTCACACTGCTCTGCATTCACCTGACACCCTGTTATCCTGGCAACAGCAATCAATCAGAAGCAGAAACACAAGGATGGGAAGAAAGGAGAGGTTAACCTCTAGTAAGAGGGTTTGAGTCAGTTCTCAGGTTAAACCTCTTTGATGCTCGTCAAGGCAACGGGGGAATCTCCTGGACTCTCACGGGCAGGACAGACAACTGGATGCCTGGAAGTACAGAGTGCACTACTGGCTCTTTAATTCGATTAACGTGAAAAACAGATGCAGTGGGAAGAAACCATGTTCTTCCAGAAAATAGGTAAGTGGAATTTGCCACACATTTTTATTACAGCAAAATGTCGAAGTGAATCCATCTATTCACAAGCTATCATACAACAACCTCATTTCTATCTAGCACGTGGTTTACTTCAAAGCCAAACAAACTCAGGAAAAAGAAGACACACTCAACACCTAGCGTCAGGTTCTCAACAAACCAGAGCTCCCCTCCAACAGCCGAAGGTGTCAGGCACCACCATGCAGAGGCAGGCAGGGGGAAGGGCTGGAGGAGCAGCCCATCCCTGCAATGAGGACAAAGGACACCCGAGTAGGAGACAGAGACACAGAAAGCATAACGCTCAGAATGAAGCACGGGAGTGAAGAAGGAGCAGAGGGGCAAACAACACAGCAGTTTCACTGATGACCACCCCCGACCAAACCCTCCAAGAGAAAGATCACAAGCGGTATTTAAATTTCTATCCTTTTTGCTGTGGCGGCATTGACACCAACCTGTGGCTTCCCTCAGTTCCTGGAAAAATTTTTGGTTGAATATAAAAGCCACACCACTGATCTCTTCCACTTTGGCTTCTGCGGTTGTATTTCGGTTAATAAAATTTGCTGTAATGGCAATGGCCAGTTTGCCACGAAATTCTTTCCGACGAAATCCTGGAAGGAAAGAAATTTTCAGAGGTGGCAAAAGCTGGCTAAAGAAGGAAGATCACGTCACACAGGCGGGGCGCTGAGGAAGACATGAGGGAATATGGGGATGGGAATCAACGGGAAGGTTTTAGGGCAGCTCTCCTCTATCTGGAAATAAGGTGTTTACCTCCCAAAGACTGTAACAATCCAGGAAAGACGTCAGTCACCCACAACTAACACACCGCTGGAAATCTGACGGACCAGAACAGTACTCAGTACAAGGGGTTCCATTTCATAAAAAGGGACGCCGTCTGCTTTAATAACTTAGGTTTAATCCTGCAATGTTCCCTGCTCACGGGTGGCTTGTCTCCCTGTGCCCTGGAGAAGTGGCCCAGTACCAGCTGGCGGGGCGAAGGTGGGGCCTGCCGTTCACCCAGCCTAGGCAGCGCACGCGTGAGGATTCTCAGGAGCGGGGCCTCTGAAGACACAAGCTCTTGGCAGGGTTCCTCCACATGAAGCAGGTGAAGGAGACAGGAGCACTACCCGTACCTTCCAAGGTGTTCCTGCGGCCATCCCCTCCAATGATCACTTCAAACTCATATTCTGATACAGGATGGGTTTTGGGGTGCACCAGGGCCCGCCAACCTATCCCTGCGGACGGAAGTCAAAATGAAGGTTATCACCCAGACCCATTCGTATATCTAAGACATCTCTAGGCACCCAGGTGTGCAGACTGCACAAAACCCCACGCCAAAAACACACCAGGCATAAAAGCATGGGGTACAAACCAAAGAGAGAAAGAAGCCTCGAGGAAGGGTCACAAAGGAACGTCCCCACCACACGACTTCCTATAACAAATCCAAGCCCTTGTAATGTCTAATACTATGTCAGAGGCCTCCTCATAAGTCAAAAGTTCCTCCAAAGACACAGGCTGTGCAAATGGAGACATCCCTTTAACTAGCTCTGAAAACAACCCTCAGATTCCTCTCTTCTCCCTGGATCTCATCTTTCCTCACCTCTTCAAGGCCCTTTTATCCCTCCTTCATTTGTTCACTCACGTTCATTTTCTTGGTCCTCAGGAGGCTCCACAAGTCCTTGGAATTCCACATTGACATGGATTTCAATGCCTAGGATCAATGCTACTTTCAAAAGTATTAGTTGAAGCTGACGGATACCTGGGTGAACAGGAAGATTACAGGAGTGAGGGCCCACCGGGTAGAGAGGACAAGTCAGCATCACTGCTCCGGTCCCCTCGTCCACCAATGCAGAGTTTATCCAGATGCTCAAAGCCACCTACAGCAGGCGGCTCTTCTGAGCCATGCTCCATAGCGTCTTCTTTTCTTTCTCAAGGGCAAATACAATTCAGTGCAAGAGGTGTTCTAGAGAGACACACAAGCCTACCTCTCAAAAGCTCTGAGACAGAAGGAGACTCTCCCTTCCATCCTCCCTGACACAGAGGCACAGTGACCGAGCAGCACCTACGATCCTGACAGGACTCACCACAGGAGGCAGAAGACAGGCACCCCCAGGGGTGCTTCCAATTGGATACAAAGGGCTGCCTCACTTCCTGAATTGCCCACGGCATCTCTCTCTCAGCCTGTTCCCTCACTGATCTTCACACACTCTTACATGCTGAGAGGGGATCCCTCAAACCAACCTTAGTCTCTTACCATTCCCCCTCCCACCACTGGTCTACGGCTGCAGAAACTAAGGCTCAAAATAATTGAAAAGCTTGCTCATTATCATAGTGAGACTTATTTATTTGTTCAGTGTCCAATGAATAGTTCCCAGGTGTCAGACACGGATGGCCCCAGGTACACTGAGAGAAAGTCTGGGCCCTGATGTGGGACCCTCTCAGCTCCAAGACAAATTCTGCCACACACAAGGCAGACAAGTCCGCTGATATACTGACCTCGGTCTACTGTTAACACCGACTGCCTACAGGCTGTGACCAATGAGCTAGGAATACGTGCTAGTCCTCCACGCAGCCGTCTCGGCTATCTCCCCCACTTTGCACCGTTCCACGTCACACTCCCAAAGACTTGTTAAATCCCCTGCTAGTGCACATCTCATTCCTGCAGATGGCTGTTACCCACTGCAGCCCGACAGATGCACAGAGTGCTTCTGCTGCCGGTGGAATGTGGCATCTGCTGGCCAGTGTCTGATAAACTGGCACAACTGCTTCAAAGAGCAAAGGGTTGAGTAGCTGAATGTTTACAGAACACATCTGAGGAGCTCAGAACAACAGTTCCTTGATAAGGCTGTCCTGCAATCATTAATGATGATCAACAGACAAAACTTCAACTTCATAATGTAGACAACAGTCTGTTCTGAACCGCTTTTCAGAGCGGCATGAAAACAAAAGCACCGTCTGCATTAACTTCTACTGCCTCGAGCACAGGCCCAGGCTGAGCTTGGAGGGGACAGGAGGAGAGCAGGAGCCCTCCACGCTGCAGACCTCACGAGAATCACTCGGCCAAAGGGATCCCACTATCTACTTGCCACTCACAGCCAGCCTAGGAGTCTGCTTCCTTCATCACTGTGGCTCCCCAGGACCGTCCCCAGAGTCTTTGTTCTCACATTAGGAGAGTACCCACCTAGCACATCACAGCAAGCTGCATACCTCGTGCTTCTCCCATCGGACTAAGAGCCACCAGAGGGTCAAAGCCCAAACTGGCAGTCTGTTTCCTAGCCTGGCCCCAATCCTATCCCACCCACTGCCGGTGCTCAGTAAGCGCTCAGGATGTTAGAATTCCTTAAGCTAAACTCATTTCATAGGAGACACCCTGGTAGTTAAGAATCTCAGGTTACAGAACCACTGGAGGGCAGGTATTTTGACTCCAAGCTGAGTGTGTTTTCTACACAATAGATACTAAGGATGTCAGGACACACTGGGCTTCGGAGTACAAATTCCTCTGGTAATCTGCCTGACTCTTTCTCCTGAAAAATGAGTAGAGGGTAGGCGTGGGATCCTACAGAAGAACTGATTTTACTTACTGATGTGGTCGATGGCTCCAGCACAGAACTTGCCGTAGAACTTCTTGGCACCCAGGCCTCGCAGGTCGTGTATGGTGAATGGCCAGAGATGCAAGACATTGTTGCGGGAGAAGGCATCTCGTTTCTCAATCACGACCACCTTAGCTCCCAATAAGGATAAATCGATGGCTGTGCGGAGACCGCAGGGGCCAGCTCCAATGATGAGACACTGAAAAACACAGCTGCTTTCAGGGCGAAGGCAGCACCTCTTGAGCGCATAACCACCATTCCCTAAAGCCCCCCAGTAGGGCTACTCTCCCCATGACCAAGAAACCTTCAAACCCATCCGGGTCAGAGCGGAGTGCCTGCAATGGCTTCAGAGAAAAGCTGTGGGCGCTCTGGATGGAGGAGACTTAACTGTAAGTGCTGGACAGAAACTCAGACGTGGCACCTGCAGATCACATTTATCTGGGTCCTCACATCAACACACAATATGAAGATCACATCTCATCTCTCAACAACAGGAAAAAACCTTCTCGAAGGTTTCTAAGTCAAGCAGATCTCTGTCCACAGAGGCACAGATCATTAAATACAAAGCCAAGCAATCTTAGGGTCCTGGAATGGACCTACCACTTGAGAGACTCCAAGGTGGTAATTTTCAAGAGCCAAAGTTTTATGTGCAGAAAAGAGTTCTAAAACCACCAACTTTAGACTGAAAATCCAGGGAAATGATCTTGAAGATCCATATTCTAGAGAAGTACTCAGGGTGAGACCACACACTTATCTTAACTAGTTGGCATGCACGTTCAGAAAAAAGACATGCACTGTTTCTGGCTTCCAATTCCTTTTATTCTGTTTTCTTTTTCCATATGAATTTATTTATTTATTTATATTTTTAATTTTGGCTGTGTTGGGTCTTCGTTGCTGTGCACGGGCTTTCTCTAGTTGCAGCGAGTGGGGGCTACTCTTCGTTGTGGTGCGCGGGCTTCTCATTGCGGTGGCTTCTCTTGTTGCGGAGCATGGGCTCTAGGTGCGTGGGCTTCAGTAGTTGTGGCTCGCGGGCTCTAGAGCGCAGGCTCAGTAGTTGTGGCGCACAGGATTAGTTGCTCCGCGGCATGTAGGATCTTCCCAGACCAGTGCTCAAACCCATGTCCCTTGCACTGGCAGGCAGATTCTTAACCCGTGTACCACCAGGGAAGCCCCTCCAATGCAGCCAAAAATAAATAAATAAATTTATATATATATATATATATATATATATATATATACACACACACGTATATGTGTGTGTATGTATATATATATATGTATGTATATATATAAAACTCTAGAGTGCACTTGAATTACTTGCATTTTGTGGATGAATATCTACCCAAATGCAAACCAACACAGGGCAAGTTAAGGCTCTTGAAAGGACAGTAACAACAGTCACAAAGTCATCTGCAACTTCATTTCCCTGCTAGCTTTTCCGAACTTCTCACAGAAAGTGCTCTTACTAAGGAGGAGAGCAGGAATGTATTACCTTTCTCCTCTCCCCACGCCTCCCCCTGCACAGGTGACTTGGCATCTCGGGTCTTTGCCCAGGCCTACCCGTTTCATGGAAACTCTATTTCTCTAGATTGTGAAGAAAGCAAAAGAAATACTTTGGTTTACAAAGCCCTTGCTTATCAAGATAGACCTCTGGAGAATGGATGAAAGGAGGTCTGAAGCCTGTGGGAAAAAAATCCCCAAGTTGGCAAATACTCTACACCTTACCAGAGGCTGAGTCTGGAACAATGACTTTGCCAAGCGCCAGGCTGCCACGGTCAGACAGGACACTGACAGGGCCTGGCTACCTCTTTGCTCAGAGGCCTGCATCCTCCTAACAGTCTGAGATCCAACTAGAGCCTCAGCAAAATCAAACAACTCCTGTGGTGTTTGACTGCAGGGTTGTTCTCAGTAGCTGAAACCCCGAATGTTCCTATGTGAATCCACGAGATAAAAATGGGGCACACAGAACAGTCGAATGAACGAACACAGGTAGCGGATCCACAGAGTTCTGCCGCAGTGTGAGCTTGACGGCCTCCCTAGGCTGTGGCCTCACCAGGCTACCTCCACCCAATGCTCTCTCCTTCTCCAGCTGAGTCCCTGGGTCAGTGCCCAGGGCCTGGGCGGCCGCCCCTACCTTAGTGTTAGTGCACGCCTTTCCCTTCTTGTAGTCTTTGTGGCTGCCCCGCTTGTCCAGCTTTGCCCAGAGGGCCTTGGCTCTCCAGTAGTTGAGCTTGGACTTGAGCTTGTGGTAAAAGGAGCGGTGGTCCTTAGGCTTCAGTTCCAGGTGGTCGCAGAGCTCTTGGAAGGCCTTGAGTGTCCCCTTGCAAGTGGTGGCCTGCACGAACCGGTCAAAGAGGATGTGAGCCCGATTCGTCGCCTCGTTCTTACGCTCCTCCATGTCGCCCCACTCTCAAGCCCCTGACAAATGGGGCGGTGGGGGGGCTGTCGATCCACCTGACGCCGTCACGTTAATCTAATAAAGAAAGAAAGAGGAACGGTTAGCAAATCCAAAGCTGCATCTAGAAACGTTTTCTAGGAGACATAGCTTTTCAGAGTGCACTGCCTAAGTGTTGCAGGCACTCGTTACACAAGCGTGGTAAGCTGCCCGTCCTCTAGACTCCAGGCGCCGTCTGAGACACCGCGGGCAGAGAAATGAGGAAGACTGCGGTTGCTTTCAAGGATCTTACAGTTTAGTGGGTGAACAGAAGCTTAGATGTGCCCTACTAAATGTCAGAGAGAGAGAGGCTCAAGGGATGTGGGAACGCAGGGGAAGAGCACCTACGTCATGGGGGAGGGATCCTCATCCAGGATGAGCCTCTGAGGGATGACATCTGAGGGTTTCAGGATAAATTAGTGTCAGCCAGGCAGGGAGGAAGCACAGGACGTGGAAAAGGAAGTAAACTGGAAGGCTTGCAAGGGACTCTTACAGATGAAAGGGTCAGGGATGTTTCCCGTGGAGTGAGTGGTGAGCCCAGGCCGAGGGATTACAAACAGAAGCCCTCATCCGTGGCAGGTTCCCTGTTACAGCTGAGCTGCCTTAGTGGAGGGGCTCACTAGGCAGTCGGCTGAGTCGGCTGAGTCGGCTCGGGGGCACAGCACACAGGTGGTAGCTGACCTGTGAAGCCTGGTCAGATCACACGGGGGAGCCCTGGGCTCCGGGGGAGATCTGGACTCAGCGAGGGAGGAGCTGGCAGCCAAGGACGAGCGTGCTCTGAAGAGCTTCTGAGGCACAGCGGAGAGGTCTGAGAGCAGAGCCAAGGTTGGCGTTTAGGGACCGAAGTCCTGCCATGCGGACGGCACGTGGCAGGTAGGATTTTACAGCCATTCCATTTTGCCCACAAAGAAACCTGACAGCAGTAATGATGCCGTCTATACCTCCCACTTATCAAAAACCTCCAGCACCTACCAGCCTACGTTTGCTGGGAGAAGCTTCAAGAAGGGAGGGGCCCCGCAAGCACTCCTTCACCCACTCCCTGCCTTGGGTCTGTACCACACTTACTTGTCATCACTGCGGAGAACTGCTGCTGGGGGCGGGAGGCAAAGGGCCAGAGGTTGGAACAGGGCGAGCAGAGAAGCAGGGCAGGGCAACAAGACGAGCAGCACCTCGGCCCTGGGTCCACACGCGCCGGGCCCGGGCTGCCCCACTCGGCCTCAGTTCTCCCTTGCGTGAGGTGAGAGTGGATGCCCCGAGTTCAGTGTGGGAAAACCCTCCCAGCCACAGGACTCAGGCCCAGGGCTCCAGACGACTTCCCGCCGGGTGACAAACAGGGCTGAGCCCGAGCTCTGCTTTAAAGAGGACCTGCTCGTGGAGATGGCAGGGGATGGAGGAAGGGAGCTGCTGACCCACTGTGTTGGGGGGAGGAGGGGTGGAAGTGAGGAGTGACCCGCTATTTACTGAACCAGCCCAGGGCAAAGGGAGCCACCAAACTATGTGCTGTGAGACCCTCTGCTTGCCTCCCCAGGCCTGGAAGAGCCCCACGTCCCGTCCTGAAGCTCTTGCAGGCGGGAGAAGCCCCCTTGGGAAGCAGGAATAAGATTCTGCTTCTTTCCACACTTCACCGTGTATTATAAGGTTGAATCGAACCAACTGGAGGTGTGGGTGGTTTCCTGAGAGAAGGCAATACCTAAATAAGAGGAACTGCCACTTTCCTCTTGTGTTTTCTGTGTCAACAGACACAGCACTTGTTCTGCGGAGGCCGAGGTGAAGGATGGTAATTCTTTACCTGAAACACACTGACTTGGCTTCTCATCTCAAATACATCACTAACTCAACAACCCCTCCTATGCACACTGCTAAACAACAGCTTGTCCCAATAGCCACGTGGCCAAGAGTCCAACAAGAAATGGAACTAACCTGCAGTTTCCCCTAAATAAAAGTTTATTCTAGGTCGTGCTAAGCAGCAAGAGAAATATTTTAAAGTTTCTGAAAAGAGCCCATTCTTCTTCTTACAAGTCAATGCTCATCTTAGAAACTGCAGGTAGTCAAAAGACGGCTTTTAAGTGGCAGAGAAAACCAGACACGCTCATCCAGAAGCAGAAGAAAGGGTAATAACCCACGACTAGAAACAAGGGTCCCGGGTGTTGCCCGTCGGGGCCTCTGCAGCTTTATTTGCTTTGCTCGTGCAGCCAGCGCTCCTGCCCGTGCGTGCCCCATGTGTGTGCACAGCTCTCTCGAACCCCACCAGAGTCACAGTGTTTAGAAAGCTTTGAACACACCGGCTCTGATCTCTCTGCCTCTCGTCAAGAAAGAAAATGATGTTTCTTTGTTCCTGAACAGCAGCAGCCACCTTCCACGCCCTGCCAGGATCTGGAGCCCGAGGTACCACCGTGTTCTAGCTGACACCGACACGCTCAAGATCCTGCGACATGCATTTCTAAAGGCCCTTCCCCTGTCTCACCCCACCCTAAAAGAGTCTCGGCATTTATTTTCAAAGAAGAATTCTGATGTGTGGGCTAACACCCCCTTGGTTGGCTGTAGCCCACCCTGTTTGAAACAAACATTTACTTCCAAAGAGCTGAGCACTTGCTCAAATCAAACCTCACCACAGATGAACACCTTCATTAATAACTGGCCCCCAATCCTTCTGCTGATGCAAAACACTTTCAAATGAACAGGTTCCAGCCACTCCCGGACAGCTGCAGAGAGCCTGCTTGCAAGAGGCAGACAGGGAGTAAGTGCCCAGTGTAAGAGAGTTCCACCTGCAGGTCACTAATGACAACAGATAAGTAGAGGGAAGCTGGTTCCTGGAACAATGTGACAGGCACCCGAGGTAAGACTACACAAGACCAATTCCCTCGGGCTGCCTCAGCTTTCCCCCTCTGTGAGCCAAGTGGCCGGAGCAGAAGACACTCCAGTGTCTGTTCTGCAGCTCTGCTGGCGGGACAGCCTCGTGCAGCCTGGGAACTACCCGGCACTGGGTTCACGCTAAGAGCAGCTGAGCAGACGGGAGAAGGACCACTCCCGCCATCGCCCTCATGCTTTCATTCCTGAACGTCAAACCCAGGTCGTGCTCCTCCGGGCCTCTCCTGGACCACGCCCATGTGCTGTACGTCCCACTAGCCAGGGAAAATCAACAGTCATAAGCGCAGGAGCCTACACACCAGGAAACCTGGCCAGAAGGTGCCAGAAATCCTGAGGACTGAAAAGTCAAGGTGTGGAAGGAAGGGACGAGGGAAGTGAGGAGCCTGAGGAGAGACGAGGAAGAGGTGGGGTCCGCTCTCCGCACGTCAGTGCGACCTCTGCCACCAGCAATGGCCTGCGAGTTCCATCCCACAGCAGCTGACTGCTGACTCAGAAGCACTCTCCTTGGCTGTGGAGGAAAGTGCTAGAGAGACAGCCTATGAAGTGCATGCAGGAACAGAGTTTATGTTTCTATTTATAAGAGTAAAAGGTTGTCACTGACTCATGGCTGGTTTGAGAACACTCAGTCTCTAGCTCTTAGAATAGATGGGTGGTTATTTGAGGGGTGGGGGAGACTTATCTTTAAAAATAGAAAAATGAAAGAGAATCAAAACAACAAAATAAGAATTATACTTCAAGAGTAAGAAATCAGAGCCAAGTTTGGTTAATTTTCTCCCTAGCCACTGCACCACTAATATACTGGCACATGTGCAAATCTGACTCTTACAAAGGATCTATGAAATGCTCCTTTCCTAGCCCATGCAGTCAGAGGCGTGACTTGTCTAAACAGACCTTAGAAGGAAGGCAGATAGGAAGACATGTTTTACAATGTCATTAGGAGGAAAATTAGATGACAAATGCACTTCAGATTACAGAGATTCCTTCATGTTTTACAGAAACAAGGACCAAAGTAGCCAAATGCCTTGAGTTCTTGGTCAGTCTTTCTGCAAACGGGCCGCTCCAGCCACCACCGTCTGTGGATGGGGACACTGAGTGCCTGGCCTGGGGCATCTGACTGAATCAGACTGCCTGGGAATGAAACTCCTCGCCACCCCAACTGCTTCCCAGCTCCTGTCCCAAAGGCCTCTCATCTCTCATGGCCCCAGGATAAGGTTCTCTAGGTCCCAAGGAAGCAAGCTCGAAATACAAGAAGGAAAGCAGTCCTTCTCACAATTCTCGTTGCTGCCTTTGTTCCATCCTCAGTTCTTCTCTGACTTTTCATCCTGTTTAGCATCAGATGGACACTCGGCGGGATGCTGAGGACATCGGAAACCAGCCCCCGTGCCCCTCCCCATTCCATGGATCTGCTCTTTAGTCCCACGCACCGGTCCTCATCCACGCCTGCGATTCCGCAAGTGCATGACTGGAATGGCTCTCTCCTCCACCACCTCAAGGCTTCATCAGGGCAGGGACCGGGTCTCTGCAGCTTCAGCCTGGCCTGCAGTAGGAACACTCTAGTTTCTGTGGAGTTGACAAGGGAAAAGAATCCCTAGTGGAAGTCTGTCTGGAGGTCCCTGCGTGGCTGGGGGAGGTGGAGGAGAAGCGGGGGGATGTTACAGAGGAGAGTTCTATCTAATGTGCCACGAAAATGGGGTGTCTAAGAACAGTCCGCCTGGGCAGGGAAGAGCCACTAGCAAGAATGCAGTGCTTTTGTTATGGATTCTCACATTGCCTTATTCTAGGAGGTGGAACAGCCCTCTCTAGAGGGGTCTGAGAGGAGCCTGGACCATGACCTCTGGGTTCTCTTCCAAGTCTCCAATTCTGAAAGACGCTAACCCCTAATGTTGTATCTTCTCAAAACTTTTTATTTTACTTTCTTTGATAGCAACCTATATCTTCAGGAAAAACACCTACACAATTGACCAAGGAGTCAGAAATGACCTCTGCCCATAGAGAACAGACTTGTGGTTGCCGAGGGGGAGAGGGAAAGGGATGGACTGGGAGTTTGGGGTTGGTAGATGCAAACTATTACATTTAGAATGGATAAACAACAAGGTCCTAATGTATAGCACAGGGAACTATACTCAATATCCTGTGATAAACCATAATGGAAAAGAACATAAAAAAAAGAA